TCCGTTAGTCGTGATAATTATAATTAATAGCATTACGTCATCTTCAAACGGCTTTTGGATATTGCTTTCAATGAGTTAACATTCATTAATTTACTATAGAACCTCAATCGTATACACAATAAAGATAACTAAAAATTACTACAAATTATAGATAAAAAGTATACATATATATATATATATATATATATATATATATATATATATATATATACTTTTTTAAGGGATTTTTAACATGCGAGGTGCATTTTAACATATATATATATATATATATATATTGTATATACAGCTTCATGGCTTGATTAGGGTTAAAATGCACCACGCATGTTAAAAAACCCTTTAACCGGATATGTATTTAACCATTGATAGGTTATGGCATCAATCTTTAGCGTACTTAATATTTAAATAATCCCTTGTGCTTACAAGCCAACAGCCTCAAGTGAATGTTTTTTTAAAACCTGACGGAATATATTGGTTAATGGCAGGGCCATGCAACAATCTTCAGTGTTGGATGAATGGGCAGGTCCATTCGGGGAAGTACCGTGCCCGGACAGAACCGGCTTGAAGTGGAAGTGTTAAACTCCTTCCTTTCGCCTTGTGAGTGAGGTGTGAACCGGGATCGCTTTATCAAAAGGTTGCCACCTTCTGCAACCCTACGGGTGTTACAAATATCCATGGATGGCGATTATGAATTAACATCAGGTGAACTGCCAGTTCACTTGCCACCTTCTGACATAAAAAAAGTAAAAGTAAAGTTACAGCCAATACATGCCCCACTGCTGAGCCAAGGCCTCCTTTATACAGAGGGTATCAGGGCATAGTCCACCACGCGGCCCCACTGCGGATTGGCGGACTTCACATATTTTCGAAATATATATTTTTTTGTTATTATTTCGACAACATGCAGGTTTCCTCACGATGTTTTCCTTCACCGCGGAGCACGTGATAAGTCAGCACTTAAAGTTAAAAACTTCATTGGTGCCGGCACCGGGGATCGAACTCAGGTTGCTCGAGTATATTTAATTAAAGGCGAGCGCCCGGACACTGAACTATCACGGCTCATAACATAAGAATATACGGCTTCTAACATAAGAATTGAACTTTATTTATTAACACTTTATATTGCTATCATTATTTCGGTACAGTTCCTGTACAGTCTTTACTTATTAAAACTGTGTAGTGTTTTTTCGTAGTTAACTCGATCTTGAGGTTCCTCTTATCAATTTGTAAGACAGAAACACGGAGCAATGAGAGGCTACCATTTCTTGGGGTTCATGAAATAATTTCACTTCTAATAGCGGGAAAAATAGGTTGGAGCATTTTCTTCGGGCGAAACTCGTTCATTATTAAAATTACGCGTCGGTAAGCGACAGGCGTGAGTTTTTAGGCCGCGCGCGCAGTTGCCTCGGAAGGGTTATGAGGGGGGTTGTCAGAAGAAATATTTTACATGATAAGGGTCGCCCCTCACTTGGGTATTATTCGGATTTCTGCTGAATTATAGAGTGAAATCCTTTTACTAATTACATCAATTTGTAATTTGTTTTACTAGTAAGGAAAAGCTTGATATATGTGTATTTATGTGAGGGCACTTAGTGATGAAAAATACACATGTATGTACATACATATATAAGGAGAAAAGGAAGATATATGTTTCTCCAGTTACGGACTGTTTAACTTGACTACTATCCCATCTAATGACAAACGATTCTTTTGTTATTGAGATGAGCAAAGATGAAATACAGTTTTATTCCTGCTCTTCGCTGTCTTCTGCGTTAAATGGTTTCCAAATTAGTACTTTAGTGTTAATAATGGCACACAAGAGCACATGGAACGTTGGTCACACAGAGCAATGCTCAATATAGGGCGTTTAACCACAAGTAACAGTCAACGCGACGGTAAAAAGCGCTCCTATATGTAAAAATATAAGCCGTATCTCGACATTGAAATGTAAATTCTCCGCGAACTGCGTACGTGAATTTTTCACGATGCCGCAGCTTCATAAGGTACGCACGGATGCTCTTATATCACACTCGCTTGACATACGCCGCGGAACTGGAAAATAATTATGTTGACGATAATAAAAACGTTGAAGATACGCTGGTTAGTTTTGAGGCGGCAAATGTTTCAGACATAACACATCATATCACTCAAATGGCGTAGTGGGTGTGCACCTGCCTCCTGCGCCATGAGTTCGATCCCCACTACTGGAAAATATGTATTTATTTACAAAAGTATGTTTATCAGTTCTGTAGTTCCCGTAGTACAAGTGTTGCTTAGTTTGGGACTAGAGAACGTTGTGTAAAAATACTTCCTGAAAATATTATTATATTATTATATCCTATCCAATAATGAGCATTGGTCACACGTTACCACTAACTCTTACAACTGTTACAGGGCTTCAACTGAGCTGACCAGTCTATCACTCAGACTACACAACTGATTACATTTGTACTGTGGTAGTACTAGTGAAGCGATGGCATGACTTCGTGAAGGAGAACATGAGAGCCAATGGACTAACCCTTGAGGATACTGAAGATCGGGCAAAGTGAAGTATGAGTAGGAAGGTAGACCCTTTCAATAGACGGGATTAATGCCAAGCAGAAGAGGAAGAAGCAACGCAACAGCTTCTGGCTCGTTAGGGAAAGTACCACGGCCTCGCAGAAGACCGGTGGGAAGTGGAGGTATATAGAAATTATACTTTCGCGTTTCGTCTGGTGAGTGGAGTAACCGGGGCCTGCTTTTAAAAAACTGCCAACGCATCTAAACAGCCCTCAGGTTTTCTAGATATTCAAGGGCGGTATTCACTTAACATCAGGTGAACCGCCACCTAATTTTTTCACAAAAAGGGACCTGCCTGCTTGCTTGACAACTTTTCACATAAAAAAATCAGGTCTTACAAGCGAAGTAAGTACCAAACAACAAAAAATCGGCTTACTATAAAGTAACCTATCCACAGCATAAAATTTGGCTCTTGTAGAGTTTTAATCCTTTATCTGCCTTCTCCACTGGGTATCAGACATGAGTGCGGACTTAGTACATCCGTACTAATTGATTAATGAAGTTGCTGCTACTTTAAACACACAATTCAGTTTTGAATGCAAACGAGCATTAATGAACAAAACGGGATAACGTCCGCTTGCCAAAGGGCGGCTAACTCTACATAAACTATTCAGCGACGGAACGTTGTAACTGACAGAGTCATGTTTACACACGATATGTGAACACTCTGACGTGGTATAATTTCGTCACTACAATACTCGCGGCATTCGATTTCGAATCGGAATAAATGTTATTTAAATTTGACACGCGACATAAACGAGAGGCAGACCGAACGGTCTGTACTAATATTGAAACGGGTTGAAACAGCCTTGTGTGAATGAGGTTCCGAATCTTTGTTACCACCAAAGCGGTCCATACTTTCATTACTTTGAAACAAAGTTACATTATTCCAAGGACACAGGGTATGAAACATTTACATCTAAAACTTTACTTTTTATTCGAAATCTCAAAAGTTTAATCAAATTTGTAGTGAATTTGTATAACTCATGTTTGCATTTTATTACGTTATTAATTTCAAAATTAATACCGACTTTATTGGTTCGTTATTTCAACGTATCAACAAATCCGGTTTATGCTTATGATGGAATGCGACAACCTCTCTTACCGTCTCTTTCACCTCATTACGTATTGAACACGACGTGTCATAAAAGCATGAAATGTCATATCTGCTACAAGTTACTAAGGAAAATTTGCCCTTTTCCGTTATCCCTTGGTAATTACACAGAGAAATTCGAAATGCTGAAAATACAAATATAAATTCTCTCTTTGACTAACAATACGTGATGAATTACGAATAATCGAACTTCGGATTCCTTATTAATTTGTTGATGACACGAATTTAGGCACTAATGGAAAATTTGTAAATCATAGCAATGGATTTATTTCATCTTGTATGTAACTTATAACTCAACAATAAACAATTTTGATTGATTGACTGACTTTGTTTTGCAAGATCACAAGCTGCCAGACGGTTCTGCTGAAATAAAATATGTTTTATAGATCTAGAAGTAGAAGAATATGTTATATTTTCCGTTGCCGTCGTACGGCCGTACTATACGGACGTATTATTTGATCCCGCTGTTAAATTTTTAAGCATGCTGTGTTTGCCTCTTAATTACATGTACAATTAGTTGTAACATTAATTCATGTTTCATGTAATATTGATTTTAATGTAACATCTACTGGCAGACCTAATAAATAAATAAATAAATATTCATTAAGTAAAACGTGTGGTTCATGTGTGATTCAAACATTTCCAGTTATGATGTCTCGAAGTCTTATTTTAATATCACGACGATTCATTTCGAAATGATCCATTACACGCTTTTTTGATTTCCTGTCTTTTATGTTCAAGGCAAGTTCTATACAGGGCTCTACCTTTTATTTCTTGTGTTGTTGTTATGAGAAATCATTATTTACTTTCGATTTACATCAAGCATAGTAAAAAACACTATTTCATTGCAATATCTGTAATAATGTCATAATGGTTAAAAATGTGTGATTTTATAAAATAGCGTGATTCAGCCTTTTCGAAGGTTTACGTTAGTTAGTTGGTAGACATAACTAACATGTTAATAACAGTTTTGTCTTTATTCCCTATGCCACAAATCCCAAAAATTATCTATAAAATTCAGATTTTTGTTTTGTTTTTAGATGATTCGATTTAAAATGCCGAGTGCTTGATGCTTTGAAATATTTATAACACCTGGGGAACAGTGCGATAAAATGAAATTAAATTAAATGAATGATTTAATTTCATTTATTTTCAGATTATTTAAAGAAACAAAATTAATGTAAAAATATGTCACTTGTTATATGTACTTGTTTTGTGTGTACTTTTTTTCTGATTTCGTATATTGCTACATTTTATTGCGCGTCTTCAGTTAAATGATCTTTATATATAAATATACGACTTCAGGTAGCGGTGGGCGTCTCCGTTTTACATGAATGGACTCTTCCTTAACCACTTGAGGTAAGCAAAATTGACCTATTTGAAGTTTAATTAGAATTATGTTCATGTAAAACGATCGTATAATGACAAGATATATCATACACATCAAGCTTAGTAGTTACACTGTAGAACAATTTGAAGTTTTTAAATGAGAAAAAAATTTTACTTTGTACACTTCCCTTGAATCGTTTTCTACGTCGTTTATATAAAATCTTTCAATTAAAATACAAAGAGAATTTTATTTTAAATAGTTATTAAATTTCGCGGTGCTTTGCTTCTCTCAATAGTGCTGCGAAGATACTAGTTTGTATTCTATTTAAAGTTAAGTTACTTAAATTATTAGAATATAAACCTACGAACATAATTTGATGTCTTCATAGTTAAAGATAATCAACAAGTTTAGGAGCATTCACACCGCTTCCACCAGTGAGATCTTATTGAACTTGTTATTTTAACGACCTGACGTAGCGCTGGCTCAATTATTAAATAACAACCATGGCCTCGTTTGATTATCATTAATGACAGGATCGTTATAAGCGAGTTTTTCTTAATGATTAAATCCCAAAGAAAAAAGGGCAGGGCAGAGTGGAGAAGTACACGAAGCGGCGAAGGAGGGAAACGAAGTTTCCTTCGTACACCTAAACTGTCTGTAGACTCCAATGTGCGAGCAACGCGACTAGGTGGTGGTGGACGTTGGGAATGTTTACGGGTTGACCTTGAGGCCGTCGGACTCACCTACAAACCAGCACATGTTAGACGATCGCCGGGCTCGCTGGAGCACTCGGCCATTGCCATATTCACACCGCTCGCGCCACCATCACTTTAGTGCACGTCACACATTTTTCACACCGTGCTCGTTTGCGTTTGCGCGACGCTCTCACCCGGCGGTGGCCCTTCATTCACTGCCAGGCCCGGGCGGCACGTGCCCTGTGCGCAGACGCGGACACGCGCTGGGCACACCACCGCCCTCTGCGGGGCTGGCTCGCCACTCCGCCGGGCTAGGCGCGACGTCTCAGAGGTCACAAGGTCGCTGACGGGTTGCGCTGAAAATCGCTCACGTAAGGTAGCAATTTTGACGAAAACACGCCGATTGTACCCGTGTTATGCCGCCCGAACAGTGAGTCAGCTTTGAGATTTTCCTCCCTAGCCTATATGAAACAAAACGCCTGTCATAACTAGTAATCGAAGGCGCGAAAGAAAACATAATATATTCAATGTAGAGTGATCGTCTCTACATTTGTTCACCTGATTATTTTATTGGCTATTTATGATTTAACAATTTAATTTTTCTAAAAAGCTTTTAATTAAATCGAACTGTCTTTTTTTCTATTTGAGGATTACATTTTAATTAACTCATTTTAATAGTCCAACCTATACAGGTAACGTTTAAAAACTGCATGCCGCATTTCACAAGTATCAACACAACATTCAAGTTCATAGCTCACCGGAGACGATGTAAACAATGTTGTTTATTCACTTCAGCTGAGATCAGATCTCAATGAAATACGGATGCAATAGAACGACACCTATCAATGTAGTTCCGGAAACTATTGGTTACTGTCTCTCGAGCTCGGAGCGTTGGAAGAAAAGCGCAAATATTGAATTGCCTCTCTCGTAATCTCTTTAACGTCGAATATTTGTGTAAAGTTGCGGAGAATAATGTATAGTTTGTATTTCGTTTTTGCACAATTAACGGAACACAAAAAAAACATAATTTTTCATATTATTTCATTAAAGACTGACCATTTTTGTTATCTTTTAATTTGAACTTTAACTTGAAAATAGAACATAAGGTAACAATTATTTTTTTATCGATTTGTTTCTGTTTCCCGGTTATACTGAGTTGTAAGTGATTGGAGCTCGGTATGAGGAGAAATTGTTTAGTTTTATAAATTCGATAAATTCTCATTTTTATTAGTAAACTTAATTTTTTTAGTTTTAATAGTATATGCCCGACAGTATAATAGTAATATTAGTAGTACGATTTAACACGAACGAGATTATTAGGCCAGATAAATATATGAAATGATCAATAATATGAAATGATTCAATGCGATATATGAAATGCGAGGAAATGGTCATACCTACACTTCTATTGCCGCCCGACTGCGGCAATTAATTTCGAAGATTCATCACAGTATTCGACGGTACTGATTGCCTGATTCTATTGTGAGTCTAGGGCAGAAAAGAGTGCACTTCAAGAAGGATGACAGTTTTCTACAATTTCTAGTTCGCAGGTACACGCTAGTAACGGCAATGCAGGCCCGAAATAAGCCTGAATTCGTGCGAGGAGTGCGAGTGAGCGAACGTACAGTCTGTAGAAGATTTATAGTTCGAAGAAGATTTGAAGTAGTGGGTATAGGTCAGTATGTACTGGCTAAAGCTCCAAAACTTGAGACACACCATCGTTTACATCGATGGTGTCGGGATCAGAACGAAATTTAGCTCCTGTATCTCGACTTACACCAAGTCGCGTCCGTTTCACGGTCTTATGGACCTTCACTTATATTTGTTTGTTTTTCTTGTTATGTTTACATTTATTTTAAGTTTTATGTATTCATTGTTCTTAGACCGTGAATAAACGTTTCTATTTCTTATTCTTCTACGTCAAGGATACATTAGACTTTGTGCTTTTTACGCCTTTATTCTGATGCAAGATAATTATCGGGCTCACAATGCTCGCCTATAACAGTGATGCAGTGGCAGGCAAGGTCCCGGGATATGAATCTTAAGCTACTAGGTTATTTGTTACTTGTTAAAGAAGCATGTCCAAGTCCGGAATGCTACAACACCCCCCCCCCCCCCCCTCTCCCCAACGACCTGAGAGATCTGCAAAACGCATTACTTTAAGAGTGACATAGCTTGTCCCAAGAGCATAGCTTGTACAAACATACTTTTGAACTTAGAATTTTAAATCTCCGATTTGATTTAAAATAAATGCTGAAGTGGTAGGGCCACTACAGAATGGTGTTGTACGAATGGGCAGCTCCATCCGGATAAATACCACGACCTCATGGAAGAGCGGCTTAAGTGTTACACTTCTGCGTTTCGTCTGTTGTGGTAGCTTTTTATTTAAAGGTAGCAAACGCTTCTGCTACCCTACGGGTGTTGCAAATTGACGATTATCACTTAACATCAGGTAAATAAAAAAAGACACTCCCAATTCAATAGACTCCGCAATATAAATAAAAAAATAATATGACCGGCGTGAAGTGGAAGTAAATTTTGTCTGATAAAGTGAGGTAGCCTGGTTATAATTTTAAGATGATGCAACAGTTGAATATACGCTATCGATCGGTACACGTCTTTTATTTAGCAGTGGCGACGAGGTAAATTATAAAACACTCGGTTATTCTGTGCTCGTGTGAAGAAATATTGTAGTGCAGGGATATATTAGGCGCACTTCAAACTTGTAATAATTACAGTAAAGTGGTGGTAAATAGCTAACGTGTCGGTTGGAAAAGTACGGGAATTCGACATTAAAAACGGAAATTGGTCTGCTTACGTCGACCGTCTCGAAATGTATTTTGTGGCCAACAAAATAACGGTACACTTAAAATTACCAAATTTAATAGCAATAATCGGGGAAGAGAACTACGAATTATTGTCTACTTTAGCTAGCCCGAGAAAACCGTCAAGCTTGTCGTATGAGGAAGCAGTGAAATTATTACAAGCTCATTTACAACTTACCCTCTAATATACATTACAAATACGTAACAACATGTACATTGATACGTCATGATGACTCGGTGGGGTTGTTGCTAAGCTATTGGCTTCGGCGTTGGGGGTCGTGGGTTCGATTGCCACACGGGACAACTATTTGTGTGACCCACAGATAAATGTTCCGGATCTGGGTGTTTGATTCCCAAGGAGGTGGACGTTGGCTAGTCGTACAAAACCGCTTACAACATGAGTCCCATATTGTGCCGACCCCACCTAGGTGGGGTAAGGGCAGCAGGATGATGATGAGGAATGCATCTCTTCATTTGTTGTAGATATCTATGTGTGGCAGCAAATCATTTAACATCAGCTGAACAGCCTGTTTACTTGGCAAATTTTCACATAAACAAAGAGTATTCAACAAGTTGAGGAATGCTGCAACGCCGTTTTGTTTTTGTTGTTTTGGTTCAGTGAATTCACAAGGTAGTTACCCACTATCTGTCAAACCATCAAATTGGATAGATAAAGTAATCTATGCAATTTGACGATTTGACGTAAATGAATATTACTTCATCACTTTCGCTGAAAGCTGCCAGTAATTCCGATGTGGTCAACCTCGATTACGGCTTTCAATGCACAGTTATCTACTTGGTATCTAGTCCATAAACGACATTGATAACGCGTTTCGTCGGTAAGTAAAAAAAATGAACAACTGAATTTTTGGAAAAAATGTCATAACATTTTTAAGTATTAAATTTATTTATAAGGTATATATTACCTTACTTATAAAATTTATTGAATATGTAGTGGACTATACATTGATTTTTTTTTAAAAAAACAAGAACACTAATATAGGAAAGAGGTGGTAATTTGGAACCCCTTAATATCCCAGGAACAGACAACGAAATCTGTTAGCAACCTATGAAATTACGTCGAACTGATGTCATTGAATGTATTAGCTCCACTGGCGTCATTTTTGCATCGAGTTTGGACCTGTTATAAGAAGTTGAAATTTAGTGTCACCTGCAAATGTTTTTTACTTTTATTCCCTAATACTGTCAAAACTTTTGTTTTTGTCTAAAAGTAAATACAGTCAGTGTAACACGAAGTTTACATTGTCAGAGATAAGTTTTAAGATTTATTTCAACTAGATTTGGTTTTCTTGATTACTTATTTTGTAACAAAGTAAGGTTTTAATTTTGGAACCCGATAGGTGCAGGTAATATGGAACCGGGATCCAAATTACCCGCATTATTTTATTGACCGGTTCTCCTTACAAACAGCAACTTGAGTAGTCAATCAAGTCTAAAGAGCAGAAAGTCGGGGAAGAGGTCGGGGAAGAGTTGGGGAGGCGCTCGTGGGCGTAATGGTGGGTAGAGTATTGTGTGTCTTCTAGAACTCCTCTAAACAGCGAGGATTCGACCTCTTCGGAATCTTCTGTTTCTTCAGGTGACACTGTCACGTCAGAAAATGTTACCACGCATGCCCAGCCCACAAATCAAAATGACGCTTGTTGCATTTTTTGCTCTGAAAATTACTCCAACGATCACCAGGATGAAACTTGGATTCAGTGCCAATCATATAGGTTGTGATGCGGATTTGTAAGTTTTGTGTATAAATTTATTTCATAATTGTTATTTGGAACCCGGGTTCCATAATACCAGCACCAGATCTTTGAACACATTTTTTTTATTTTTCAAGAAAGCAATTTTGAAGTGAAACTTCTTTAGCGGGGTTGGAAAAAAATTTAGTGTAACATTTTTCCGTTACGCGCCATCTTTTTTTTATCTTAAAATGTTCCTCTAACGCCATCTAGTGTTGAATAGGGGGTTTTATGTCGTCTTTATGCTTTTGTGGTTTTAATAGTTGACGCTAAATGGCGTTAGTTCCTTTGTATTTTCATAACAATATATATATATATATGTTATATTAAAGTGATCAGCAAAATCAAAGGGTTTATTTTAATTCTAATTCTAAAATGTAAACAATATATTTCGTATTTCAGTTACCATAAGCCATTAATATCACAAATATATAATAAAGACATCAATGATAGTAATAATTCTATTACAATTAATGAAATTCAATAATAATATTTGTAGTAATGACAGTGCTAGCTCTAATACTTCAGAGCACGACACTGTAGAGACTTCCTCTTCTCCAAAGGCAGGCACCGCCCACCGTGACCTGACTGCGCCTTCCACCGAAGACACAATCTGAAAAGCTGACCGATGATGCTCTTCGAAGCCTCGATCGGCTCCTGGAACTTGCGGTTGCGACGTTGATCCAACGTCCGCAAGTTCGGTTTTCCAAAAAAACTTAACTCACAACACTCGCGCGCGAGTCGAATGTCTGCCTTCTACTCACTGGCTGACTATTCGGCAACGAAGGACCATGTAAAAATTCAAAGCGGTTGTATTTTGGGTCCGTGAGGTTAATTGAAATAAACAAGGTTCACGTTGCAGGTTTTTTAATCAGCAATTTTTGCGGACCCTCTAATTAACTAATTACAACGGTCAAACCATAGTGTGTTTTAATTTATTACTAACGCCACCTATGTATTACAAATAAGAAACTAAATATTATACAAAGCTAAAATGAAATAATTGTAGAATTTGTATTTATGTCTATGATAATAAAAGCCTTTTATTAAACTTTATCTAATTTAACTTTATTTAGCCAATTTCTGTAAAGTTGCATATAGTAAATTATTTTTTGAAAAATAACGTCATAAAAAAGTTTCACTTCTAACGAGTGTACGCTAGTACACGCACACATTTTTTTTTTCCTATAATGAGTGATTTTATTTTATAAATTACTTTCTAATATAAAAGATAATAAGTTTTTAAATATAAAGAGACAGTTTTGTGATGATTAGTCAAATTGTTTTCCTAAAATACTCAAAAAACAAAGTGGGCTTTCAAATTAGGACTTTATTAGAATTAATTATTTTATTTCCATTATTTATTTACATTATTAGAATTTCAAAAACAGGACATATTATTTTTATAAACTGTTTTTATTTTATATACAGCGAAATAAATAATAAAACATGTTAACAGATTTCGAATGCTTTAATGTACTTATCAAAGTCAAAGTCGAAATATCTTTATTCAATATAGACTTAACTTAAGCTCTTATTGAACGAAAAAATATTACCACCGGTCCACTAAACTAGACCTAAAGACTAGAGAAGAACCGGTAAGAAACTCTGCGGTCTTGTTTTCTTTTAGTTATTTTTTTTGTGATGCATTATACAAACTTATTTAGGAATAATATCAGAAATGCTCTAAAACACTGTAAGTAAATCAAAATACAGTAAACAGTTTTTTTTTATGTAGTTAATAATATTGTAAAAACCTCTGTTTACAAAAAATATTCTATGAGGCCGCGGTATTTCCTCGGACGAGCCTGCTCGCTCGTGCAATGAAGAAGCGGCGGTGAGGCCCAGACAATAAAAGCAAGCATAGAACAATCATTGACGATTAGCAGTCATATAAAATGACGTTTTCTCCGTAATTTTACCATATTTTTAGCAATCATTGGTCAATTTTTAGAGTTGGGTACCCAAAGGATTAGACGGGACCCTATTACTAAGTCTCCGCTGTCTGTCTGTATTTCAGTCTGTCGGCAGGCTGTATCTCATGAACCGTGATAGTTAGACAGTTAAAATTTTCACAGATGATGTATTTCTGTTGCCGCTATATCAACAAATACTAAAAAATATATTAATAAAAATATTTAAGCTGGCCTCCCCTTTGTGCGCGAGTCCGACTCGCTTTTGCTTTATTATTGTAGATATGTATATGTTAGAAATTAAACCTAGCATATCAATTACATTAATAATTCATCTTAAATTAAAAGTTTATATTATTAAAATGTCGCTTTATTTTATTTGTATATATTTTAGTTGATTATTAATTAAATGTATTTCAATATTTTTAGTTGCAATATTATATCGGTATCGTCAATATAAAATCATGGCGTGAATTGAAAGACACTCCATGATATTGAAAAGCGTGGCACTAGTGTGAAAAAATAGTGCCATGAGACACGTGAATACGTGTCGACAGCATTTCACTCCGGCCGCAATCTCATTAACGTACTGAATTTTCAGGTTCGCAAACTTCTCTGCGTGCTTTTTCTCGTATTCATGTTTAGTCTGTGATGGCGCATATGACCTTTTTAACAAGCTTTTATTAGTTTCACCAGTATGTATGAATGTAACGGAAACTTTAAGCGTGATTTCGCCCCACTTTGAATAATCAGATTTGAATCAAACTCAGCACACTCGTCAAAGGACCCATGAAAATTCAATAATTTAAAAAAAAAATTCCCATTATTCTGATCAGGACTCTAGGATTAGCTCATTTCCAAATCCGATACGGTAGTATCCTTTTGCCAAGTACGCATTTAAAAAATATTTAAAAATATAAAACACGCTTTTATACTTAGCAGAATAGAAAAAATAGAAAATAAATAATAGCTTAAAAAATCTTAAAAAAAAATTAAAAACAAGGTTTTGTTAGCTAAAACTACTGCCGAACCAAAAGTATAAGAATAATTTTCAATAAATTTAAATTATGAATAGTGTGATTAAAAAACCTGTTTTTTTTTTATGTGAGAATGTGGCAAGCGAGCTGGTTCCGACCAACGACCAGACAAAACGCAGAAGTAAAACAATGCGTTAAGGTTTTCTTCGGTGTGGCATTCAGCCGTTTTGCTCAGTGGCTAGAGCCGAAGAATGCCGAAGACGTGGGTTCGATTCCCACAACGGCGACAATCTTTTCGCACTTTTTCTACATATTTTAATGTTCAATCTTCAGTGCAAAGATTAGCACTATAAACAATTTAAATACTGATAGTACCTAAATTTTTGTAATTATTTTTGTTTTTAGAAACTGTTATTTCCATTGCCAAAAACAACATAAATTGATAGTTTACTATTGTTCTTGAATTTCAAATTATCTTTTATTTTAATACCCGTGGCGAGTAGTTATAAATTAGTAATTGATAAAAGTAGAGAGATTAGAAAATAAGAAAAAATACAAAAAATATTATATGAGAAATAGTTATAAATTGACATAATTGTATTCTAATGCTGTTCTAATTCAATACCTCACTCAGAATTTCAGCATAGAATTACGTCATAAAACCATGCGAAAAATCATCTTTCGGTTTATTCATTTGACGACGCACATAAAATACATTTTTTTATTTATTTTAATTACTGACCTCTTTGTAAAAGATAAAATTGGTGGCAACGTTATCAAAATTCATCGTTGATAATAATAATTCTTGTTCATTATCGAAATTTAAAAATTCTAACGTAAACCTGTCACTTTCCGACCCGGACAGTTTATTACTTGAATATTTATATGCAAAGTAAGTAAGTACCAAAGAGTGAAGTCAATAAGCATAAATGTACTATGTTATATATATTCTGTATTATTTTGCTAGCCGGTAATATTTTCAGCCAACCCACAACCAACAAAAGTGTGTTGCCAAAACCCCATCCCCTGAGATGGTGCTACTTTATAATCATAAATATTAATCTTCAGTAGCTGTTATGCATTATTTTAATATTATAATTCTCAATATTTAATCAATCTACTTTATATGTTTCCACAGAATCGTGTGTAAAATCAAAAAAAATCAAAATCATTTATTCATCGACATAAGAAACTTACATTTCATTTATCAATAGTCATATTTTTTTTTTAAATCTACCACTGTTTCGTAATGAGGTTCCTCTAGCGGAGAAAAAACAGGCGAAAGAAACTCCGTTGGTATCCTCTTTTATGTAATTCATTTTTTTTTCTTAACAAAAAATTCAAATATTATACAACTGATATTTTTCCTTTTAGAAATAGCTTGGGAGCGATCAACTCATTCCCAGGGGTTATTGTCATTAATGTATTCATTTGTATTATAATAACCCTTTTTATAAAGTTTTTCTTTAATAAATTTCTTAAACCTGTTAATAGGCAGGTTTTGCGCATTTACTGGGATTTTGTTGTAAAAGCGTATGAACCATGAACGAGTTACTTACTCGATGGAGTCTAGTAACTGGCATTACAAGCTTGTGAAATAAATGTAAATACTACACACAACTTTAAAAAATCATCAATGTATTTTCTTTTTTGTTATTTAATCTGTCATTTAATTTATTAACATATTTTTTTAAAGTAAAATGAATAAAAACTTAAAACCAAAAGACGCAGGTTCGAATCCCACACTGCTGAAAGTTTTGTTCATTAATCTACTATAATTTATAATTTACTGTTATTTTAACGCAAATGTTGATGTGGTGGCATCATTAAGAATTTATCATTAAAAGCTTTTTCATATACTTTTATTGACTTATATATTTTTTTGTTTATTCACTTAATTAAAACTTACCAGCCGTGATAGCTTATTGTTCAGGCGCTCGCTTGTAATTCAATATACTCGAACCACCTGAGATCGATCCCCGGTGCCAGCACCAATAAAATTGTTCATTTAAAGTGCTGACTTATAACGTGCTCAGCGGTCAAGAAATACATCGTGACGAAACTGCTTCTTTTCGAAATAATAAGAAAAAATATATCTACAAATTAAGATAGATGAAATCCGCCAACCCGCAGTGGAGCCGCGTGGAGGACTATTTCCTAATACCTTCTGTACAGAGGATGCCTTTGCCCAGTCGTGGGACATATATAGGCTGTTTCTTTACTTTACTTTAGTACTTATTACAAAAAAATAAGAAGGGAGTGAAAATTGTATACGGTATATATGGAGATTGTATACGATACAATAATTTTGAGATTTGGAACTACTAACAATACCACAACTATCTTACTAAAATCTATAGATGAATATATTTTTTGTAATGGCAATCTTTACTCAGGTCCGTATATGTTTTTAGTCTATGAGTCTTTCTTAACTTGATTCTTTGCCGTGTTGTGTCGGGTACGTTTCTAAATCTTAAAAAATCTTCAGTTAGGCTGCTTTGTAACTGATCGAATAATTGAAAAATTATTTTAAAGTATACGCCTTATTGTAAATCATGATTATTTTTAAAAAACTATGTATCAGTGATCAAAATAAACGAAGCGGCAACTTGACATTTCACACGCAGAAACGAGTAACCTAATGTTTTGTGACAGTGAAATAAACGTGGTATTTTGGGTTTTCAGCAAAAAGTGCCAGGATGAAGTACAACAGGCAGGTAACCTCCTCGAGGAGGAAAAATAGGAAGAGGCATTTCAGTGCACCTTCACATATCAGAAGAGTTCTTATGTCTTCGCCTCTCTCCAAGGAATTGAGACAGAAATTCAATGTGAAATCCATGCCTATCCGCAAAGATGACGAAGTTCAGGTATAATTGTACAACAGTCATCAATTTTTAATACAACATTACTAAAATAATCTTTCTTTAGTTGTATTTGATAGTTATTGTTATTATGTGGTACAACTTTACGTACTTTAAATACATTTCTTTAAATTTTACAGTCCTTTCAAACTTTTTAAAGCCTTAATGTTTGAGAAACAATTTAAATTTAATACAGGCAAAACAAAATGATGAAGACAAACCATTCACAGACTGCAGTTGAAGCTGCATCAATATTGACAAGCTGAAGGTTTTCTTCAGTGAGTCTACATTGTTGCATGTTGCTCTGCACCATGGTTCAAAAATTGGCTCTGATTGTTTTGCCTAGTCCATTAAGTAAACTATAAAGTGAAATATATTAAAACGAGTGAATTTTCCAAGTTGGGGATAAAGTTTATTTTTATTCAAATTATCTAGGGCGACTTAATAAACAATAGTTAGTGTGGGTATGTATTATCATCGTGACTTATTGCAGGTTGTGCGGGGTCACTACAAAGGCCAGCAAGTTGGCAAAGTGGTTCAGGTGTACCGTAAGAAGTTTGTTGTCTACATTGAAAGGATCCAGCGTGAAAAGGCCAATGGCGCAAGTGCCTATGTTGGTATCCACCCTTCAAAGGTAAAAGTTTTATTGGACAATTTTTTTTTTCTATGATTCTGGTATTTTAAAACAATTTATGGTAAAAATCTCCATCACTTTCCGGGTGTTTTCGACCAAACAAAAATTTTATTCGGTTAAGAAAAATCACTAATTAAATAATCAACAAGTAGAATTCGGCGGTCTCTTATAATTTTCGAGAAAAATAATATTTAAAACTTGTTATTTTCACTAAATAAATCCGCCATTTTGTGTTTGACAATATGTATAAATTTACAAATTCACACACTTCCAAATTATAACCTTCGCATTTTTAAAAAAGAGTAAAAATACTAAAAGTACTGTTACACAAAATTTTTCTGGGTGGTTATAACTTAACCTTCTAACCTATCCGAGTCAGATCGCTCTGTGGCGGATCTGTCACTCTATAAATTAAAAGAAAATTAATCTTCGCCCACCTCCTATATTTATCATGTTGGCGGTACTGTGTATTCAGTTTTTGAAGTCAAATTGGTAAAATGGTGAACTTTCTAAGTGAAAATTACGTTTTAAATAATTTTTTTTCTCGAAAACTATAAGCGACCGCCAAATTCTGCTTGGTGAGTATTTTATTAATGATTTTTCTTTACCGAAACATTTTTTTTTACGTCGAATAACACCCGGAAACTGAACGAACTAATACCCAATTTATTTATTTCATATTTTTATAGGAGTGTTGCCAGTTATTATTCTATTTTTAAAAAAGCTTAAAAAGAAAAAATTCCATATAAACTAAATTTTTAATGACTTGTTTCTGTAAATTCTTTACTGATATTATTATTATAAGCCCTATGTCCCAGTACCTTATAGAAGGGCTGTTATTTTGGTCTCCTTAGGTTTATATCTATAGTAAATTTTAATATCAGCATATAAATGTAAGTTAACATTTATATTAAATCAATCTAAAGAGATCACCATCCCTAACAACTCAAATTTGGACAATACAAATAGGATGTTAAAACTGTATTAATAAATGATTTAAACAATAATTTCAAGTAATTAAATTGATAATCTCTTTAAACTTAATCAACCCTAAAACATGATGAAAAATTCTTCACTTAGACCACATCCTGTAAGACTTAAGCTTTGCTAAAGTTTGACAGAGATGCGGCTACTGCTGATAAACTTCCATGGCTCTGATTTTACAAAAAATCGTGCATGTGTATACTTGCCATGTCGACAAATACTTATGATGTTGTTCATATTGCAGTGCGTAATTGTCAAACTAAAAATGAACAAGGACCGTAAGGCGATCCTTGACCGCAGAGCGAAGGGCAGACTAGCAGCCCTCGGAAAGGACAAGGGCAAATACACAGAGGAGACCGCCACCGCAATGGAGACCTCGTGAATGTAGTGTTAAGAACAATAAAAAAATTAAAACTCTTGGGTTGTTTTCTATTTTAATTCAAAAATCAATCTCAACACCATTTATTTCATCATCTTTTATGCAAATCCTCTTAGTTTCTTCAGTTTTAACAGGTTCGCAACCATCATGTTTAGTCCTAAACAAACTAAGTTTTGGATTTGCTATTCACATTGATGGATGGCCTTGCAAGTGACTAAAATAATAACAATGTCTTGCTTGTACTTGTTGAAGCTTGAGAATATTAACAGTAAAATGGTGGCAAAATAACCTTGATTTAATTTTTGGTAAATACATATTGTGGCTATTACTTTTTCCTAGATAATATATTGAATTATTTATTACATTAAATTATCTAACTGTTCTAAGACATTAAAGCCTGGTTTCTGAAACACTGATCATCGTAGAAGTTAACTAATCAGCTGTCAAATCGCTTTTCAAATGTTATTTGAGTTGCCAAAAGGATTATTAAAATCATTGAATTGATCATTCTGATAAATTCAGAGAGTTTAACAACAAGCAGTGTTTCGGAAACCGGGTGTAAGTTTAACTTTATATGATTATGTACCTGTAACCTGTTTACACCAAGGTATAAAAGCACTGACAAAATTTGCAAATTAATTGTTGCAACATCCCAGATAATCTGACTTAGGTTTTACTTTCAGTCCGTTGACTATGAGAGCTTCATCTAAAGCCCAATTTACATTGGTCATGTGTTAGTAAAGTAGACAAGTAAGGTAAGTTACAGTAGTGAATAATCGGACAGAAGCAAGTCAACTTTACTTACAGGCTGCCTTGCAACTGGACCCAAAAAGAATTGCTTTCTATTTTTCGATGCAAGTGTTGCCCCCGAGGGCACTTGACTCGTCACTTGCCGTAGTGTAAAAGGTGAAATTAGTACAGTATTCAGCAACAGGCAATAAGATTGCACTTATTGCTCGCCCATTTCGACAGAGAGGTGCCGCTGTACGCTGCAGTGTAAACCAGCCACCCAGCCCGCCACTGGCCTCTGTACTTGTACTCGCCATTCGTTGCTGTCCATGACAAATGTAATCAGGCTAATGTAAAGCCTAGCGTTTTCCTGTCTCTTCGGGGTTATCGTCAATTCTTGGTTTACAAAACCAGTCAACGAGGCGATTGGCAGTATCTTCGCGAAAAGCGCGATGTCGCCTTGCGGGTATTTTGAATGTCGCTCGTGTAATAAAAAGAATACGGGTGAGAGTCAGGAGGCTTGAAGAACACCCCTAGAGTGAGAAGGGGCGGCTCTTAGCAAAAATCTAGTCCTCTACATGCTGTTGTGCCAAACCTTGTCAAATTCCTTTGCAACACCGAAAAAGTGTCACAACTATATTGAGTTTTGGGTAATCGAGACTAAAATGGACTCTAAGCGGTCTTAGCCATTGCACAAATAGGGGTGTTGGTGGAAGTACCACCACCTCACAAAAGGCCTATGTGAAGTGGAAGTGTTTAACAATTGCGCAACAAAGTCATCCCCAGGCCAAACTCAACATTCAAAAGCATAATTAAATGCGCCCACTTAGCCATCAAACAGTTTTTGTTTTGTAATCATACCTAACTTACAGGTAAATATAAACAACCGATATTTCTTAAATTATTTATATTTAATTCTGAATTGCATATAAATTTGTGGACTTTCTGTTACAATAGTACTCTCGAATGATATCTTTTTGTATAAAACGCTAAAATATGTTTTACATCTATTGTACCAGAGGACCGCCTTTAGAAACAGAAAATGCACACACAATAATTTATTCTATGCTTATATCTCTTTAGAAATTAGACCTATTTAAATTTACCGCCTAGCTTAGGTACTTAGAACAGCTACGATCGCACACACATCCACACGGGACAACAATATGTGGTCACTCTTACTAATGGAGCGAGAAAGAAAACAATTTAACAAGAAAAAAAGTAAGTGTCGCCATAAAAGTAAAAAAAAAACGGACTACACGTAAATCACAATACTAGTGATGTAACAAAGTAACGGGAAAACATGACTCTATAAAACAGTAGAAATCCGCGGGTGACAATGATAAAATTAAGTTTATTTGAAACGTAACTTTAATTTGACCCTTGTCATAAATTATGTGTATTAAGGCAATGTTGGTGACTTCATTGGGCTAGAATAGTCCTATCAAATCGACTTTTTAAACTATAACTGTCACACTTGTTAAGTTAAAACATTTATTGCACGCGTTTGGCGCAATCACAGATCACCACACAATTTGCGACGTGACAACACGTCAGTGTCGCCCACGGAACATTGCTACATTGAAACGTGGTGTTGACAAATTGGCTAGTAATAGAAAAGATCTATCTTAGATGTTGTAACATTTACATAAAAGGCAGTGACGCGTAACTTTTGGTACTTCGAACATATCGCCGTAACGCCTTAGATATTATTATACCATTGGTCCAGTACATAGAGATAAGACCTCGTTGATTCCGCAACACACCCCGAATTGCGACTATCGATATAATGCTAAATGAAGAAAAGACGAGATGCGCATGAAAATATCTCCTCGCACAAGCAATGAGATAGTTCCACGACCCTCTACTATAACAGATTGTTTACCACTTTGTACTAATATATAATAATTCCATTGCAATAGATCTTAGAATAATCTAGAAAAACTTTAGAATTTCCATGAAAAAACCTTATCCGAAATAATTATATCTTACGAAACTAACATTTGAGTGAGGTAAAAATACCTCATTATACAATATATTATGTATAACTGTTACAATCACCGATTAAGGGAATAACCCTATTCATTCGTTGTTCTAGTAACAAAATGTTACTTTTTAACATCAAAATATTGCTTCAATCCTTGTATACATTTATATAAAGCAATTTATTTACATAAATAAAGAATTTCTTAATACATTTAAAATATTTCTTATTATTATCGAATTTTATCAGAATATGATAGCAAAGTTACTCAAATCAAACATTAGGAAGGATAACAAGCAAAGCCATTTAATTGTACATTGTTGTAAACAGAAATTACTTAGTATTTATCAGGACACAAATAGAGTTACTCCCTCGGAATCAATGAAATTAAAACATACTACCATAGGGTACAAGTTACATTTAAAAAATATTTACAAACACTGCTAGTTCAAATTTGTTAGTAAAAATATTCACCAGTTAACACGCTACTCAATCCACTTTGAACATACCAAGTTGCTATAACCAAAATGTCCTTAATACATTGTGATGAAATAGAATACATGTGGTACTCATTTCTTGAAGAGTTGCTGGTATTGATTCGAAAGTCCATTTATAAAGTGTTAGATATTATTGCTGAAATTACTCTATAACGATTGAAAACCTCTTAGTAAAGGTTTCGCGTAAGAGTGAATCGGACACACACATTGGTTTCTTATAAATAATGATATATCCATTGAAAAATATAAAATGTTGTGCTAATTGTTAAGATATGGCTAAGTGTACTTAAAAATTGCCTTCAAAATAAGAGTTCACAGTATTACAAGCAAAGAAAAAAAAATATTCAAAAGTGACAAATATTGCCATAAGATTACAACTTAACATATTTATGGTTTGTTTTTAAAAAAAAATACACATACAATAAAACAACATTGATGCATTCATTTGCCGAGTCCGTACAATAACAGAGTACCAAATCATACCATGAACCCTTACACCAAAACACTATTGGATCCTCACAGAGTCGTCCAAATCACCACGTTGTCACCCAAACGGTGCGTACATATAAACGATGCTAAAACAATGGATATTATGGAGAAAACAATAAAGAAAACACTGTCAAGCCGATTAAACTGGCACAAATAAATATCTCCCGAATAAGTTACAGCAGTTTATAGTGCAGACCCGTTTGTAGGCAACTCACAGAGTCCTTTCACAAGGGCTGCGGACGGGTGAATATTATTTCTTCGCGGGCGGTTTCCTGGGGGTGCGCGTTGCTTTGCCGGTGGACGTGGATGGCGTGGGTGTCATCGGAGACGCTTTAATATCTGCAAACAAAACATTTTTATTACACAAAACTAGTTATGGACGGCCTGACTCATTTAAAAACAGCTGATCCAGTTCTTCTCAGCCAAATTCGCAGCCGTAGTTAAACTGAACTGGTTGAGTGTAAGTATAATCATTAGGGCCCTCAAATGGGCTGTGAATGTAATGCCCAGATCAATATTAGGAGTCAAGAGGGCCCAAGTGTGCAACCGAAGAAGCCCAGACTATCTAGCTTCGAAGGGAAGACAATATATCTTCAAGGTCGCAGCAGTCGTTGGGACTATCCAACCCCTACGAGACGTCTTAAAGTTGAAGTATGACAAATACTTTCGCGTTTCGTTTGGTGAGTGAGGTGGCCGGAGCCCGATTTTCAAAGGGTTGTCAACGCATCTGCAAACCCTCGGGTGTGGCAGATGTCCATGGGCGATGGTATTCACTTAACATCAGGTGAACCACACGCTCGCATGGCAACTATTCACATTAAAAAAAAGGGAGGAGAAAGAGCAAAAGAGGTGGTTTTTTTGATGTTCAATAAGCCTTAAATTAAGCCTATATTGATTAAAGAATTTTAGACTTGAGTGTTCTGTCTAATACCTTTGGCAGCCCTCCGTCCTTTGCGAGTGGGCGTGCTGAGAGGAGTCTCCGCTTTAAGTGGTTTCGCAGGCGTCCGCTTGGCCGGAGTCAATTTTGCCTTCGTCTTATCCGTAACGGCGGTGGCAGTCTGCGGAGTTCACCAGGGCTCAGCACCACAAAGTAACACAATAGAAATAGAACACTGTATACGGAGGAGACGCGTATATTTTGTTTTTTTTTTTTTATACAGAAAAAATGTTATTGTACAGTAAAAACAATCGTAACTGTAGGATAGCATTACCCTGTGTTGTTTTACAAACCAAAATTCCACGTGAACGAACACCCTGATCCGAAACAATTATCTGTTGGCCCCACAAATACTTGTCACATATAGGAATCGAACCCACATCTCCGGCACTTTCAAATGCGCCACGGAGTCAATGCATCTTTGACACTAGTTTGAAATGTCTGTTCAACTTTCTCTTGTGATCGAATTATTTATACTGTTCGTTTGTGTCGGAAGAATAAAATTTTATAAAACCTTAGTGTTCTTTGTTTATATGAGTGTTAAATTATAATCATATCAACCAACAGTTACTACAGACAGACCCCATACAGAGGGCTATCTTCGTATTCAAGTGGAGTATAAGTTTTCAAGAGTGAACTTCAGAAAATAATAAATTTGATACCAATTTTAATATATCAGAACATTATTAAAGTAGTATTAACCAATCTCAAGTTATTTTTGGGATATAAATACAATATTGTAGTGGATTACAGTTAACTTTAATAATAAATGATTAAAAATTACGCGACTTTCTAAGTTTCGCGATTTAAGGACCATATTTTATAAAAATCATTATTATCTTTTACTACTTTGTATTCCTACCCCAGTTATTTTGCATGCAAATAATGATGAAAATGTATAGAACATATTTTAAACCAATACCCTAATAAATGCATTCATGTTAAAGAAGACATTAAAAACAATATTTTTCCGTACTAATTTCCATAAAATAATTAAATCTCCTTTAACACATTATGCACACATTAGCTTGCTCGAATTTGTTCATAACAATTACATGCTAATTTTATATTTACATGCAAAAAATTAAAAAAACTAAAGCATAGGATTTATGGGAATATTTGCCCCTAAAAAAACACAAAAAGCAAGCAATGTTCATGGGATGGATGAAGTCACTTTAATCTAGGCTACTTATTTAGATTTTTCAAGATTACCAAGAATAACCTATCAAGAGAAACTAAACAACATTCGAAGGAGACATACACAAATTGTGTGTTTTGTATCTACTTGGAATTGATCTTGCAATATGGGAAACTTTCAGTGCTGCTGAGTATGGCCAGGACACAAAACTATGAACCAAACAAAAGCTGTTCTTTTTCATGCAAATTAGTTATTTGCAACATGTTATCAGATTCCAAATGAATTTATGTTCTTTAATTTTTATGTTACTTTCAGACAACAGTTCATACAATTAACTTTTTTGAAAGTAGACCACATACATTGTTTTCCTTATTTTTTTAATAAATATGAGTTCATAAAATGCCCCAGAGTTTTTAAAAAATTAGAAAAAAAAGTTATGCACATCTATTAAGCTTCTTTTATAGATTGGAAGGTCGCAAGTTTAGTTATGAATATGGAACCCGCGATTAAATGTGAAAAATTCAGAAATGGTTATACCTGGACCCAAAATAATATTCAGGAATCAACCGGACAAGTGAACTAACCGAAATACTAAGTAACTGAGCATGCAGAATAATTCAAATAGTGTCTCCATATACATCTTATCTTGCATATACCATTCTTTATTTCTAATTCAACAAACATCAATCTTCTAACTAATTCAATACAACTTGTTCATTCCTTCATTCTGTGCATTTTCCGTTTGGGTGTCGCAAATAATGGAGAAATGGTATGATATTCTCTTCTTGTTGAAATGAGTTCTCAATGATTAAATTTTAATGGGTATAATAATTATATAATATAAAAATTGCATCTTTTATAGTTAACTTTGTAACATTTTGAACAAGATACTTTGACTTAAGTATATCAATAATTCACGTGAACACAAAGTACTAACAATTATAATTTTTAAATATTATAAAACTTCAGTAAAGCTATAGCCGCTGGGAATATTGTAAACTATTACGGCGACCCAAACGGAAACATATTCCCGTCCCGTACGCACGCATGCTGTGAGCCGAGCGGGAGGGAGACAGCCACACACCTTACTCTCAGACACGAATGTAAAATGGCTGATGATTGCTGATACGTACATTTCTATATATCCGTTGTACTATGCCTACCTTGCTAGCGGCCGCCACTACGGGCGAGCTACCTGCCGATTTCGTCTTATTGTTGCTTTGCTTCGGTTTCGATTTGCGCGAGCCTTTAGGGCTGCGCTTCGGCGTGCTGCGCGCCTTTTTGCTCGGCGTCTCCTCTTCCTGCAACACGATTGCACCTTCAATCGGGCTGATAGATTGATTGGAACCGAGCCATCATTGATAGTCGATCCAGTCATTTGCTAATCTATTCGAAAGAACTGTGATGACCATCTAATCGGATGAATATTTAAAACTAGCTGGTGTTGGCGACTCCGTCTGCGCAGGTCTTATCTATATTTATACCAAAATTTGTTAGGCCAAGTTCTGCCGTTTAGTCGTCAAGGCGTAACAGCCGGACAGTCACTTTGGGAGACCCTTGAATCTTTATAAATTATAGTTTGTGTCATTCTGATGTATAAGCTATATCTTTATAAAGTTTCATTACAATCCATTCAGTAGCTTTTACGTGAATGAGTAACAAACATCCATACATACATACAAACTTTCGCCTTTATAATATTAATAAGGAAGTAAGAATTTGCAATTATTGTTTGCGCAATTACATAGAGTTGTGGAGTTTCCATATCCGGGCTCGATTTGATATTAACAACACTCAAACTACTAGACTCAAAATATTTTTAAAGGCAAACTTCTTATCAGAAGATTTCGTAATTGGACGAGAATTGATGGTGAAATTTCAGGGACGCTTCACCTTTAGGCAAATCATGTTACACGGGAAGAAACAGGTCACGCAGAGACTGTACGACATATACGATCAATGCAAAGTGATAGAATAAGACACGATTCGCTCTGAACAACTGATGTATTACGGGTTGTGTAATAAATATTAATCATTATGTTTGGTGATATTACATATTTTATTACTAAGAAACCACATGCGTCAAAACCACTGTTACCGAACTTCTCTGGTAAGGCTTTCTTTAAAGAATTTCGCCAGTAGAGGACATAAACATTCTTTACCATACCAAATGTTCCTATCCCATCTATCTTTGCGTTTCCGTTCAGACTGAGATGTTACCCGCTTAAACGCAAAACATAAAAAGGGCGTCGCTTTTACCTTTTCAAATTTTCCCATTGACCATCGGTGAGTGGCAATATTAGGGCATATTTTACTTTACCGTGACTTCGTGGGTTCGAACCCGCGACCGCGTGGGAATGGCTTTGCTCTGGCCGTTTAGGGGCCGTTAGGGGGGTGGATACTCGCCGCAGTCTGTTCCTGGTCGCTCTTCGTTCTTGGCGAGGACTTGCCGCTGCGCTTCCTGCCCTTCTTCTCCAGCTGCGACTCGTCTGTGTACAGTGATAGGTCCACTGCAACGTTAACTACCGTCAAACGGTCATTCGTACAGCGTCGAGTTAGTGGGTGTAATGGTCTTTTTGTTTCTTTTTTAAACGCATTGCCCTCACTACTAGGTTGACATTAGCCTGTTTTGTAACGACCTTTTACAGACAAATTTCACGTGGACAAACACCCAGATGCGAAACAATTATCTGTGGGTCGCACATATAGTTGTCCCGTGTGGGGATCGAACCCACGACCCCTGATGCTGTATCCGTCGCCGGCTTTTTCATAAAACTTGTCAACGCATCTTAAAAGGTTTTGCAAATGTTCATGTGGTATTCACTTCAACATCAGGTGCCCGCCTGGCGCCTGCCCGCTTGACAACTTTTCATATGAAAATAAATCTACTCTGATAACTAGGCAATTGATGCCGATCACTTTAAAGGACGGGCGGGAACTAATTTTACCGGGTTGTAATTAACACAATTTTAAGGGCTTTTAATTTGTGTGTATTAGTCAGTGTACTATTTTTTTATACAGTGTGTATTTAACATGTTCAAAAATTTTTTCTTATGATGCACAACCCTAGTTTCCATATAGATAGACAACTTAATGCAACCAACGGTCGTTAATTTCAGTCTTCATTTGTATTAGAATTATTGGTAAGACTGCACTTTATTATTAAATGGATTTATGCTATAGGCGAATTGAATGCCTGGGAGAATTTCATATTACTATATAATGTTCTCCAATGGGGTGTCATACTGTATTTTGTTTGGACTTAAATTAATTTTTTTACTTTTTTTACTTACTTTCAATTCGGAGATTATTGACATCTATACCACATCCATCAAATATCGAACCCACAGGGACAGTAATTCCCACAAGTTGGATGGACGCTAAAATAATTGTCACACATGGATGTGGCATTGGCATATGATGGAATCTAGGCGTGTGTGATGGAAACGTGTGGGAATCACTTTGTACTCGATACTCACGACCGTCCGGGTGTTCCTCCGTCAGCTCCAGGTTGTTGGCGTCCCCGCTCTGTTCCGCCTTCAGCGCCCTGTCCAGGATCGATTTGGCGCGCGCCTCTTCCGTTGCTTTCAGCAGCTGTTGAGAAGGAACGGAGTCAAGTACATTTCCAACAGCTTGGTGTCCAAGCTCTTAATTCAATACACACGAGCAATCTAAAGTTAATCCTAAGTGCTGACTTAGCTTACTTCAGCGTGAAGGAAGAATGCTGTATGTTATCGAAATGACAACAGAAAAAGGTCCGCCGCAGAAGAATCCTGTATGTTATCGAAATGACAACAGAAAAAGGTCCGCCGCAGAAGAATCCTGTATGTTATCGAAATGACAACAGAAAAAGGTCCGCCGCAGAAGAATCCTGTATGTTATCGAAATGACAACAGAAAAAGGTCCGCCGCAGAAGAATCCTGTATGTTATCGAAATGACAACAGAAAAAGGTCCGCCGCAGAAGAATCCTGTATGTTATCGAAATGACAACAGAAAAAGGTCCGCCGCAGAAGAATCCTGTATGTTATCGAAATGACAACAGAAAAAGGTCCGCAGTGGGCCGCGTGGTGGACTATGCTCTATACCCTCTGTACTGAAGCCTTTGCCATGCAGTGGGGCATATATAGGCTTATTCTTTACTAAATCCTTTGAATAATTTAAGCGTCAGTCTACCAAACTACTTTACTATTTTTTTTTTATGTCATAAAGTGGCAAACGAGCCGGCGGTTCACCTGATGTTAAGTAATAGCCGCCGCCCATGGACATTCGCAACACCCGTGGGGTCGCAAATGCGTTGCCACCTTTAAATAAGGTGGGCCCCGGCTACCTCACTCACCACACGAAACGCTGAAGTGTAACACTTCTACTTCACGCCGGTCTTCTGTGAGGTCGTGGTACTAACCCGGACGGACCTGCCATTTCGTGCAACAGTGAAGACTGTCGCGTGGTCCTACCAAAGTAAAATTACTACTTATACTATTATTATTACTACTTGAAGGCAACATGGTTTGTATTGAAACAAATATTTTATTTGGTTATCGGCTAAATAAATATTTTAATTTATATGCTAACCTGCGCACCGCCTCCGCCCGGTGCTCTTGATAACGACAGGGTTGTCAGCACACACTCCATGTCTGAAAGTAAAAAAGGCTACATAAATTTGAAGATCCATACAAAACTTTTTATCATTATTGCATTGATTAGTACAACAGTGGTGTCTAAACTCGCGCCCGTTTGGTCTGTAATGCGCCCACTGCAAGATTTTCAAAATACTATTTTAAAATTCCACTTCTATATACTTTCACCCTATAAACTCAATCAATACAATAAAAAAAAGCTACATGCCAAAACAGTACAAAACTTGTTGTTAGCAATAAAATAACGAATCTGCATAAAGTGAAAACACGCCAACAATTACTAAAACATAATCAATTAAACTTACATTTTATTGGGAAATCCTATCATACTAATAAAGTTTTTAAAGTTTTGGCTTCGATGCCGGGGTTGTGGGTTCAATCTGGATGTTTGTCCACGTGAAATTTATGTACCTATATAAAACATCATGTGTTTATATAGTCCTGTGTTGTACAGAGGACAATGTAATTTAAGCAATTAAAAAAAAAAACATATGTATATAAGATAAAAATGCCGCAGAGTTACCAGTTCACCTCTGGTCAAGTCTCGTTTAGTGAACCGGTGGTAGTTTTTTTACTTTCAATAAGAGCTTAAAATAAGCCTATACAGCGTGTCGTTACCACCGCGACAATAAATGAACACACATATAGAGGATAACTTTTTTAAATTGTATTAAACATTTACCTTCTTTAAACGTCAATATTTACCGAGTTATAAAATTTTCCCGAACTAACGTTATTAGAACATCCTTAAGTATAAAACGGTAACGTAAAGTTCATTTGTAAAGGTCACAAAGCATATGATTGTGTTGAATGAGTTTGAAAGAATTAAAACATACAGTTAGAAGGAGAGATTTGTAGTGCGACGCTGCGGCAACGAATAAAAAAAGTGTCTGAATGTATGAATCAGTCAGTTGTAGTTGTATAGGTTGTTACGAATTTTGTTTCTTTTTTATTTAATTAGTTTGTTTGAAAAATATATTTTTTTTAATTGTGGATTTTTTAACGTTTTATATTTTTTATGATTATTGGCAAGTAGCCTTAGACGAGTGTTAATTTATTGTCGCGGTGGTAACGACACGCTGTACAGACTAAAGAAATTTTGATGATGAAATTTTGACTTTAAATGTTATCCTACAGTGAGTGACAAATGTTTTCGAGGGGAAGACTACAGTAGATCTTCTAGGCTGTGGTCGTTGCGACTTACCCGCCCCTTGCACAGAGCGTACGACAGAGAGGTCTGGATACGCACCCGTGACGTCATAGAAGTCCGGCACGTAAACGTCCTTCCAACCCAAGACAATGTTTTCGAAGGCGAGACCACAATGAGTCCTTTAGGCTGTGGTCGTTGGGACTTACCCGCCCCTTGCACGGAGCGCAACACAATAGAGACATCTGGAATACGCACCCGTGACGTCGTAGAAGTCCGGCACGTAGGTCTCGCCGGAGGGGTCCGCCTTGTCCTGCGACAGCCAGCGGATCTTGATCTTGCGCGTGCTCCGGTACACGTTCTGCACGGCCTGGCACACGTAGAAGCCGCCCTCCGCGTTGCGCACGGCCAGGTACTCGTTCCTGGGGCGGACCCGGTCGCATCGTATACAGCGCGTCGCCACGACCGCGCCACTAGGCGAGCACGCGTCTAACGCTACTTGCCAATATTATAAAACGTTAAAAAAATCCATAATTAAAAACAGATAAAATTTCAAACAAATTAATTCAATTGAGAAGAAACAAAATTTGTAACATCCTATACAGCTGCAACCGACTGATTCATACATTCGCTGACTTTTTCATTTGTTGCCAGTGTTGCGTTACAAGTCTCTCCTTCTAACAGTATGTTTTATATCTTTTAAATTCATTCAACCCATTCATATGCTGTGTGACCTTTACAAATGAACTTTACGTTACCGTTTTATACGTAAGGATGTTCTAAATTTGTTTGTTTTGGAAAATTTAATAACACGGTGAATATTGATGTTTAAAGAATGTAAATGTTTAATACAATTTTAAAAAGTTATGAGCTTGGCAACGCGATCGACACGCATAGCTAAGCAAAGCATAACTTTTTAAACTTGTATTAAACATTTACTTCCTTTAATTACATCAATTATTTACCGAGTTATTAAATTTTATAAAATCAATAATTTTAGAACACCCTTACGTACAAAACTGTAACATAAAATTCATTTGTAAAGGTCACATAACATATGAATTTGTTGAATGAATTTAAAAGACATAAAACATACTGTTGGAAGGAGATACTTGTAACGCGACTTTGTGGTAACGAATGAAAACGTCTCTGAACGTATGAATCAATCAGTTGTAACTGTATAGGATGTTACAAATTTTGTTTCTTTTTTATTTAATTATTTGTTACAAAATATTTTTTACTATGGATTTTTTAACGTTTATATTTTTTAACATTATTGGCAAAAAGCGTTTTAACAGCGGTCATTTAAGGTCGCGGTTGTAACCACACGAAATGGATATGACACTAGCCAATACTGCGTGGCGTTTTAAAGTTGTTCCGCTTTACTACATATGACATATATAGGTGAATGTTACAGATGATATAGAACGTATGCTACAGAAAGAGATAACGGTCTATATAATTACACCAATTGGTGTAATTTGAGTGCGCTAATGTCACATCTATTGTATATAATATCATTGACACTAACACACAGAGAATGAGGCACTCAAATTACGCCAATTGGTGTAATTAGATTGTGATTCTATAGACTTCTAACTCTTTCCGTATCATACGAACTACATCATCTGTCACGTTCATATTATGTATACCGAAACAATTTATGTATACCGAAACAATTTTTAAACGTCACGCTGTATGCACATGGACTATCTATATTATTAACCATCGTTGGGGCGGATCGTCGCTATAGTCGGCGCGTTATCAACTAACGGCCGTTTTCAATATTCTATCTATCTGTACATTTGGTAACTATCCAATAGGTATTTGTTTAGTTCCATAATACTTACGTCAAAATTCTATCCCCAGTAACCAAATCTAGAAATTGAAAACGGCCGTTAGCCTTCTGGCCATAAACGTCAATAGGGACAGGAACGTTCAGCGCACCCGAACATGTTATCGATAACTGGAGCACATGTGGTCGATGATTCATTGCGTTATATTATGTTATCGATAATTCGCCTACGCACTAGTGGCCGATGATTCATTGTGGTCCTCGCTAGCTCCTGATTGGTCGTGACATTGTGGCCCTCTACAAGGCCACAATACTATCTAATATGTCTATATATTATTATTTCCTTTATCGATATGGCCTTTTATTCATCTTACGCCCATCACTATGCGGGTCCATAAAATTCATTAGTGCGAGCGAGATAGATATAACGAAATGATTTATGGCCCGACGATTTAGTTGATAACACGCAGAGTATAAATATATCGTCTAAACACATTTAACGTCTATTACCGCAATCGAATGACTACGCGCCTCTTTTTAACCACCGTCGTAAGTGAGTACCGCCGCCCATGGACATCTGCCACACCCGAGGGTTACAGATGCGTTGACAACCTTTTGGAAATTGGGCGCCGGCTACCTCACTCGCCAGACGAAACGCGAAAGTATTTGTCATACTTCCACTTTACGCTGGTCTTCTGTGAGGTCGTGGTATTTACCCGGGTTGGCCTGCCCATTCGTGCAACAGCCGAGGCTGCTGCGTGGCCCTACCACCGTAAAACCGTCTGTCTGTGTATCTAACGAATGTTTTTTTTTTTGTCTGGGGTTTAGTAAAAATTTATAATTATATTTACATTACTATTGATCACCTTTAAGGCGTTAGTAAAGAATAAAATATAAGTTGTCGAGTGCGAAATGTTCGTACATTAATCAGTCAACAAATGTCTCATATAAAAATGTGCAAATAAGTATTTATCAATGAAAGGTATCTTATTTTGACTATTATGTTTTTCAGACTATTTCTTTATCTTTCATTTAAACAAATTGTCGATAGATGGCATTATAATAAACACAATGATATATATACAGGGTGTTACAGTATATATATATATATATATGCAGCGGCGTAGCTACCTAGGGGCTAGGTGGGGCAGTGCCCCGGGGCCCTCAAGCTCAGGGGGCCCTCGAATCCTTACCAGAAATCTCGATCGAACTGAACTTTTGGAAATTTCTCCCATTTTCAAAATAAATATGACAGGTTGCAGCCCCACTTTAATCAAGACAACTCAGCTGAGAGAAATTCAAAAGTTATATGCCTAAGGAAGTCCCCTAAATTCTTTCAGTATTGTCAATTTGACGCATAATGAAATGTGCGTTTTATTATTCATCGAAGTGCGTTTTATTGTGAATTCGAGTTAAGATTTTTTTTTTCGAGAACGGTTGAAAAATTAATGCTGTATCAGGAGTAAGTAAGCTAATGTCAATAATTTTTTGTTTGTACTGGTCATGTGGTTCAATTTTATTTGATTTTATCACTCATATTGATGTCCGTTAAGTCAATAAATCGTGTCAAATCTATAGATTTAGGCTACAGCTCATTGTATAACGCGAAATATCGTGAAAAAATGAAAGTCACCTGCAGTAGGTACATTAATAGGGAAGATGCAGATTTAATATTTTTCAATATTTTGTGAAATAAAAACTAAAATTACAAAAGTGTGATGAATTCCAAAGAAAATATTTTGATATAATAGGCCCTAGTTTTCATTTCATTTTATTAATATTTACCACGTAGTTTTACCTCAAGTAACTCAAGCATGGACAGTTCACCAATTATGTAAGGAAATAATGAGCAAATATGCAGTGCTAGAATGCGACCTAACGGAAGTATTTAGGGCAATCTTATTATTCTTTACAATTTCTGTCACTTCTGCAGCAGCTGAAAGATCATTTAGCAAATTAATAATAATAAAAAATTATTTGAGAAATAATATGGGCCAAACTCGACTCCGACATTTATTGCTTATAGCAATTGAAAACAAAACAAGCCTGGATTTAAACGAAGTCATTGATACTTTTGCGAAAACTAAAGCTAGGAAAAATTGTAAATATAATTGTTATTTAGTCAGTTGATAGGCCCGACCTTTATATAATAAACCCTTGAATCTTCTCTATTTCGTTTTATTAGCCAAACCTACACCAAGTAATAATTGTAATTTATATTGTTACTGTTTAATATTTTTATTACCTGCCATGCAATGCACAAAAAAGAGCTGAGGTAGCTTAGCATTTTTACGTATTGGTATTTTTCATATTTTAATTTGATAAAACCTAATCAGTTTACATAGCAGTGGGCCACATTTTTTAATTTGCCCCAGGGCCTTTGATTACCTTGCTACGCCACTGTATATATGAGACATTTTTCCATTTTATTTTAAAAAATAATATGAATAAAGATGTATAGTGTGTAAGATTTGAATACTTAACAAATAATACTTGTTAATAGTAATGCTTAAATTTCAATTTGGTCAAACGAATATTTACCACGGCTTCACATTTATCATCAATAGATCAACACTGCTTCATGAAACCAGGGTGTTTTGGTGACTTCACCAGACTCTTATTGGTTGACAAGGCAACTACCTACTTTACGGTATCACCATTGTCTATGTGCGGAAGTAATTCTTATTTTTTTTATTGAACCTCTATGAAAAGCCAAATAAGTCCTTAAGAAGAAAATAATACAATTCGTTATTAATTAAGATTATTGTACTCATTACGTATTTTTGTATTAATATTTTATGTTTTCATTATTTAATTTTTTCGTAACTTCTCTGAAATTATTTGCTGTAAAATATTTTTGCATCTATTATTCTCGCTCATTCTTGTATTAACGTAACAATGCTGTGTCACCTAATAAGGAACATGCATTAAACATTTTATGTTTCATCTTTTATTTAAGCATGGAATGTATGTACTGCTGGTGTCCTTTTAAATAAATAAATAAGACCCTAACCATATCTCAAATAGAAAATTAAAAAACTGAAACCACAACATCGAATTGTTTACAACCCACATGATAAATCGAATTTAGACTTTTTAATAACACTTTCCTTGAAAATTTTCGTATCGCCTCAATAACAATAATTGAAAATGATTGAAAGGAAAAAAAAAGCAATTCAATAATTCTCAAACATATTTAAAAAAGTGTTACATGGTAATTTGACACGATTGGCGTAATGGGTATAGTGAGCCTGTTTCTTGTGAGGGTGTTGGTTCCCACTACTGGAAATGTGTCTTGTTGTGAACACAGTGTTTTTAATGTCATCGTGTCTATATAACTATAACACGTATGTCATTCATTTACAAATGAAAAATATGTTTAAATATGTTTTTCAGTTAGCTAATAACACCCACAGTATAAGTTTTGCTTAGTATGGGACTATATAACGTTATGAAAAAAATATATCCCAATTTAAAGGCCATACTAATACACGTAAATAAGAAATCAAGTGGTGGTTGGATTTTATTAGTTGCACGTCAATCAATAGAACCTACTTATAAACGGCCATTAAGCATATATCATGTACATTTTGTTCAACAAATGAAGATTCACCAATATCCTTGGCTGCTTAGTTTCCACATGAGGCCAAAGTACACATATGAGCAGTTGGATCAGGACTTACTTGTAAAAGACGATAAGTTTGTCGTCGTTTGGCTTTGTGGGCGTGGAACGGCCGGCCGATGCTGACAGCTTCGTTGCCATCGCGATTTCCGGAGTCGGTGACTGATAAAGCTGAACCTGAAACAAGAATGGACTAAGGTGACATAGCGAATTGACATATTAAGTTTCAAGTTAGAACATTGTCCGCTCTACGCAGACACTGATCGTTCAAGTTGCCTTTCGCGGTTTTCAATGAAAGTAATTTCATTGAAGTATACGAAATTCAATCAGTTGTGAAAATTCAACATTTGTGTCTGACTTTATAGGCCCTTAGGAGACCTTAGTAGGTAAAAATGTTCAAAGTTTGTTAATCTTTAATTTGTAAAAATGTTATGGCTCATTACCAACCAGTTTACAAAGTGAATTTATATTTGGGCTTTTTCATTCAAACTACTTTCCTTTGTCTTCTTTAGTCCTAAAGGTGATAACTTTAACCTAAAATTGATCTCATGATATTAGAATCATTTTATAGGTATCAGGTAAGCAGAGAAGTAAATCTTAAGTAAGTTTTAAGCTGTTTAATTTGGGAAAGATAATCATTGTGATGGATGCATGTTAAATACATGATGAATATATTTTTAAGTAAATGACGTCTGTTACCAGACTTATATCTGATAGTTTTAGGTATCACTTCTTACGCTTATTAATTAAATCTTTTTGTATTTAATTTGAGAAAAACGGTATAGACGCTGATCACATATTCTGTAAAGTTTCATATGCATACATAAATTACTTAAAATGAGAATTTCTAAACAAATTGAAACCGCTTTAACATGAAGTTTAACCTCAAAACTTGTAAAAAAAAAGATTGTCGCCGCTGTGGGAATCGAACCCACGTCTTCGACATTCGCGGCCTGACGCTTTAGCTTTAACCTTTTAAATAGGGGAGAATAAATAAAAATATGGGCAAGGAGACATTATGACACAAACACTGTATTGATATAAATTGAAATCAAAGATGTTTCCTTTAAATACATATAACATAAAAATTTCAAATTGTTTGGGTACACCAATCAATATATTATTCATGATCATTAACAATGTTTGTGTCTTGTATTAATTACGCATCTGTCAACTTCAAACTACCTAATGTTGATAGGAATTGAAAAAAAAATATCATGGAATACCCACCATGTATATGCCTGTGTTTACTACAGCCAACCGCGCGTAATATTGGCGGGAAAACCGCAAAGGAATAAAGCAATACTTTAGATCGGCCTTTTTAACATTATAGTTAATTTTGACAATGAATGTTTTGGTCATTGAATGATATTATGTATAAATACAAAGTAGATATGGCACTAGAGCACCAAAACTTAGGCACTCAAATTACATACTACACTCCAATTGGTGTAAATTAGATTGCAATTCTATAGAGTAGACTACTTCTCTTTCTGTATCATACATTCTATTTCATCATATATGTCATATGATTAGCAAAATTTCAAATCAGTTTAAAATTACGAATTTTGAATTGAATAAAGACAAAATTTTGTAAATCTTTATGATTACATCCTTTTATCCAAATTTCGTACCTCGTAAGATAAATTGTTTCAACAATACAAGGTAGATGTATATCTATACCTTGTCATTGGCATGAAGGATAAAAAAATTCCAAGTGAAAAAAAAAACTATCACCCATCGCGAGTGACGACAGCATATTACTTTCCCGCCAAAAGTTGGCGCATAATACTGGATGTTGATTTATGTATTAATTTTTTTTTAAATAAAATACTGTGACTGTCTACAACTAGCCAGTTAGATTACACCATCTCTTTAGCCAGTTGTCAATGATTTATTTACAAAAATCATAACCATTATTAACTTATAAACCTAAAATGTAATGCCTAATAAATACTCACCTTAGTCCTGTTTCTTTTGATTCTTGTGTCTACAGTGGAATCTGCATCTAAGGACTTCTTTGCTGGTGTGATTCCATCACTAGATTTAGTCGGTGACAATTGCCTCCTCTTTCTCATAGGTGGAGTTACCGTTGCAAGTTTCATAGTTGACTTCGGTGCTAGTTTCACTTCAGGTTTCACAGGAGTTTTAACCTCTGGTTTTTTTTCTTCCACTTTCTCTTCCTGTTTTTCCAATTTCTCTGTTTCTTCCTCTTGTTTCGACGATTCAATTATTTCTTTGACATCCTCCTTTTTCTCTTCGACCTGCTGTGGTTTTTCACTTGGCTCCACTTTCTTCTCTTCCGATTTGGATGGTGAATCTGCTTTAGGGCTCTCAGGTGCTCGCTGTTCTTGTACCTGGGATGTGGAGACTTTGTCTTGGTTCTCGTTAGCTGCTTCAGGTGTTGGTTTGCTGTCACTCTGCACAGGTGCAACATCTGCTGTAGGTGCCAGTTTAACATCGGTTGGCTTGGAAGGAGATTTTTCTGGCGGTTCATTAGCTGTAGCCACTTTGGGTTGAACAGGGCCATCAGGCTGTGCAACTGAATTAGGAGCATCAGATTTTTGTGGTGTGCACTGGGTATTTGCAAGTTTCTCCAAAGATTTCTCAGGTGGTTTTGGTGTACTTGGCGAGGTCTTTGCAATATCTTGCTTATCTTTATTACATTCAGGATTTTGAGGCTTGAGTGGAGTAGGTGCATTTGAACCTGATTTTGATGATTCAATTGTGCCATTTGCGTGACTACTTGAATCAGGTTCTTTTTTCTCAGGTGTTCTTGTCAAAGCAAGTGGCTGAGACGTATTGGCCTTCTCTTGTACTAAGCTAAGAGGGGCACCAGTGGTCGCAGTTTTACTAGGGCTAGGAGGTGGAATTGAGTTTTGAGTAACATGTGATAGGTTTCCATGGTGACTCATGTTCTGTGCCATTTGTGCCATGTTGGCCGTCACCGGCGCCATGGAAGGTACAGCGTGAACCGGCGGTTGTGGTGCGTTTACGTGGTGTATCAAATTCTGCCCGACCAAACTGTTGGACCCGTGGTGGAGGGAATTTTGAGCACCCTGAGGCAGACCGACGGCGTGATTAGCGCTTGCCACGTTGCCTTTCGCAGGACTCGCCTGGCCGCCCGGCTGCGGGACCCCCGGCTGGGGCAGCACCGGCTTTAAAGCAGAATTCATATCAAACGACGTTAATACTCGATGTGACTCTCAGGTGTTCACACTGAAACATAAAAGTAATAAGTTAACGACACTGTTATTGTAGCACGTCAAGACTCTGCGATGTCTTTGACCCAAAACAATAATTCATACATAACACAACCTGTGTCTATGTATAGGCGTACGCGGGTAAGAACGCGAACACGACATAGCCCGCCTTTACCGCTACTTTCTATTATCTAAGAAGATTACATGCTACGATTGAGCTTTAAAAAGTTACCAGTAACAATTTCGTCGTCAAAAGCACATGAGATATATGCGTGTGCGTAGCGACTGCGGTGAAGCAGCCGCAAAAAAATATGCGTTGCTATAACTAAGAAACTTCCGCAAGATTCCGATCGCCGTAGATGGAGCTCGGATGCACAAACGTCAATCACACTAAACGTACACTTTATGACACAAGTGGCAAAGTCATTACATTATTATCACTATTAACAACAAATAAATTAAAACTAAGTTTGGTTTAGATCGTCGAAATCTTTCAACAAGTATTATGCACAGTAGTTTAGAGATGGCGTCGGCATAACGCGCATGCGCCACCCTCTTTTTCTGTTGTCCAATGAATACGTAGAATGAAATGAAGCTCAAACGAATTTTTCTGAGAAAGCTATGTCTCTTTCTTACATTGTCTAACCATGTATTGCTGTCTCGCTTGCAATTTAGAAGAATCCTGCGTTCATTTTTATTGTAACGGTATTAAATAATATGGAATTACTTAGGCATATATTTAGAAATATAATATTAATTATGTTCAAGATCTGATATTAATTTACGTTAAAGTTTATCTTTTTTAACATTTTTAAACTTTGAAAATTGTTATTAGGTATTTGTTGAAATAAGATTTTCACAGTGTCAGTTATTTTTATACAGAAATAATGATAGACAAATCAGAAAAGCCAACACAACAGATGATATTATGTTTCATGATAAATTATTAAAAAAGAGAGGAATAAATACAAAAAATAGTTTTTGATTGAAAACGGAGTGAGTGAGATACATAAACGAATTAAGACGAGCTTGAGTAGTTGGGTTTTATGTTAAGCAAGAATAAACGAATTAAGAGTATAGCCCAAAGTGCGCCGTGGTAACTCAGTGTCAGGGCGCCCGGCTTAAATTCAATTTATTCGAGTAACCTGAATTTGATTCTCAGTGCCAGCACCGATTAAATTCTTCATTTTAAGTGCTGACATCACTTTTCTCATTGATAATCAAAATACTACTACCGATTCGGAAAAGAAAGCCACTGTATTGAGAAGAAACTCAGCGGGCTTTTTTTTACTGAATGACGAATTATGTAACTCAAACGAAATTTAACTTGGAAGGAAAATTCAAAAGAAACGTTTTCTACGTTTGCTTACCGGTGTGCTTACCTATTCCTCCTAGAGGTGGATGTAATAGTAAATAAATAATTGTTTTATTTTATTAATACATAATTTTATTTCTTCTTCTTCTTCTTCAGCGTGTGTTCGCCCACCGCCACATCCAGGCATACGCCTCTCCAATTTTCGTCCATTCGGCACGACTTTTTGTTTCCCTTGTCCAGACTGGGCCTGCTGTCTCCTTAATTAACGTCATCGGACCATCGGGCAATTGGTCTGCTCACACTTCTCCTCCTTCTATTCTATTATATTATAATTATATAAATGATTGGAATCGATAGATTCCGCCGAAGCTATCAAAGTATTGATAGAAAAATGCATTTATACAAAAAATAGATACAACTTTTAGTTTTACAGCTTAAAATATTTTAGAGCTACTTGATGATTGGAAATAATCATTATTAATCGTTAGTTAGTGTTGTATAAAAGTACTATTTGAGTTTGACGCTGACAACACTAAACTAACAAGTATTAAGACTGTCACTCCGTCGTTGAGTTGCCCTAGGCCTAGAAAAAAAATTCCGGCCGTTCATTCCCGTTTCTCATAAATAGGTTATTTCAAAAGCCTAATTAATTAGTCTTAGTACAACAAAGTTTTATTATTAATAAGTAAAATATTACTTTATATTCATTTTTTCCGTTATGGTTAGTGCTATTGTTATTTTTAATTCAGTAGTTTAGTTTAATTTACTTGTGATCATTTTTTTATGATGTTTTGTTAATTATTTCAGGATGTGTTAACAAGACCTGCAGAAGAATTTGGGAATGACGAAACCTTGGAACATTTGTGGGCGGCTAAAGCAATGGAGCATAGTGATATATATTTTAATGTTTGTATAAATTGCTTCTTTTTGTAATCTGGTCGCCCTTATAAAAGATTTTCAAATTAAATTTATTAAAATTGAAAGCTAAAGCTCCTCACATCTTCTGGTATTAATGGTTGGCACAGAAACTAAGTTATAGTCTCTCAGTCACTATTCTTGGGTTTGATTCTTAAATATAATGGTAAACAAAAGTAGCTTATAATCATTGAAATTTCATTCTTTTGGGTGCTGAAATGAGCTGAAACTATGCTTAACATTATAATCATGATACACCTTGTTGTGATATTTTGCCATAACATGATTCTTTTTATTTTATTAATAATTTATTTCATAAAACATGCAAAATGCATTTGCCTACTTAATGGCTTTTGATATTCTATTCACGAAATAATACTAAGTTTTCTTGCAGGTTCTCTGCTCTGTAGACACAAGATGGCTTTGTCTCACACCACATGATGACCTTATATATTCACATTTTCGACAAGACTTTCCAGACATGGATGTCAGAAAAATAAATGAGAATGAGATAAAAAATAGTGCAAACAAAGCCCGTTGGAGGATGTTCTGTGAAAAGTTTAAAAATATTGTTGAAGATTATAGTTTTGGCACTCTGTTAAGAGCAGATACTAATGGTGATTATTCCGAACAAAATACAATTTTAGTACCAAGAGTGCAGTTCTATGCCATTGAAATAGCTAGAAACAGAGAAAATTTCAATAATGAAGTTAAGAAGAGATTTAAATGTGCATCTAAATCGAATGTGGAAGCACAAGAACACAAAACTACAGTTGCTTTATAGTTGATGCTAAATTTTAAGTTTGGGTGCCTTTCAATATTTTGCAATAACTTTTAAAATGGAACCAAAATACACATTTAAGAAGATAAATTATTAGTAATAAGTTCTTGAAGCAACTGTATAAGCAAAATTTTATGATAATAAGCATAAGAACTTCCTATGTTTAAGTATATATTTTATTTATATATATAATAAGTGGCTGATTTAACAATATCAAGGAGGGAACTTTTTGGCCTTGTTAATGTTGTTAATGTTTTGAACAAAAAAAACATACTTTTTCAATCTAATATATAAAATTCTCATGTCACTGTGTTTGTAATTGAATTCTTCTGAAACGGCTCAACCGATTTTCGTGAAATTTTGTGTGCATATCGGCCAGGACCGAGAATAGGACACCATCTATTTTTCATCCCCCTAAATGTTGGGAAGAAACTGTTTAGGATGGTTTTAGGGTTTTTTCTACCCTACAAATAATTTATATGGCAGAACAATGTTTGCCAGGACAGCTAGTATTAATATATGAAGTTCAAGACCATAATTTCATATGATTTAAAGCTTAAGTGGCAGGGACCTTATAAATTGTTGTTACAAACCATTTCCAACATTCAACATAAATAGTGAGGGGTTAAGAGAAAATGTCAATAATGAGGTGGTGAATAATGTTATATTATGTAATAGCTTTATTGTGAATACACTGAAATTTTTGTGTCTAATCCTCGTTCTTTGAGATAGTTTTCAGTAATAATTTTGAATGTAACTTGAATACTGCCTGAAAATGTTTCTTAAATAACTTCTCTTGCCAATGAACTTATAAAAAAAAGTATTATTAACATGTCCTTCAAACTTACATTGTATATTATGTCAAATTGCAGCTTTATTAAATCTTAATAAAACATGTTTCTACTCTGAAATAAGAAAAAAATGAATGAGATGCTCAATTACTCATACATTTTTTATATAAAATTTCTAATTTGATATTTATTGGTTTTTTTTAAACATATCCCTTAAACATTTCTTAATTTTAATACAATGTTATCTAAATATTTATTTTATTCAGATAGAAATTAAGGTTGCAAGAAGAAACAGTGCGGGCCCTACAGTGGTAGGGCCATGCAAGTGTTCGCTGTTGCATGAATCCCCGTCCGGGTTAGTACCACAGAAGACCGACGAAGAAGACATAGACCACAGAAGACCGAAGCAGGTGAACCGCCAGCTCGTTTGCCACTTTCTCAAATAAAAAAAAAAAGAAAATCAAAATGTTACACCAATTGATTGCACCGAACGAAGTAGGTGTGTGTATTTATAATATTTAAAGTAATTTATTTTTTCCGCGACATTAATTATTTTGAGCTCATCTTCAAATTAAGCAGCCATACTCAGTCATTATGCTGATGTGATTTGAAATAAATCCAATAAAAAAACAGGCAAACCTTTTTTTAATTACCTCTGAAGTTATAGACTTAGCCACTGCAGATATTATATTTTCGAATAGCTACTTAAGACAAGCTTGTCTTAATTGCCTGCTTTAAGGTAAATAGGTTAGTGAGGATAGGGCACTTGGTTATGTGAAACGAGTTTGCGGAGAGCTAAGTGGTCTCCTTTAAGAGATAACCGTGTCCAAAAGTGTAATGCCTTAATTATGTTCTCGCTATGAAGAAGAAACAATAATATATATATATATAATATATAAATAATAACAGAAGAATTTGACTATCGTATTAATGAAGTTTCGATAAGAAACTATTTTTCAATCATTATGTATTTCTTTTAATTTATTTAAAAGCCGTGATAGGTCCATGTCCGGGCGTACTAATCTCGGAACAAGCACCAATAAAATTATTTATTTTACGGGCTGACTTAATATGTGCTCACCGGCGAAGGAAAACATCGTGAGCAACACTGCATATTTTTGAAATAATAAAAAAATACATTTAGAAGATAATTATGTGAATTCAATCTGCAATGGGGTCACATAGTGGACTATATTATATATGTACAGCGTGTCTTTACAATCGCGACAGTAAATGAATACACATATAGGGGATAACTTTTTAAAATTGTATTAAACATTTACATTCTTTAAATATCAATATTTACAGTTATTAAATTTTCCAAAACAAAGAATTTTAGAACACCTTACGTATAAAACCGTAACGTAAAGTTCATGTGTAAAAGTCACAAAGCATTGGATTGAATGAATTTAAAAGAGATAAAACATACTGTTAGAAGGCTTGTAATGCCACGCTGTGGCGCGAGTTGTATAGGTGTTACAAATTTTGTTTCTTTTTTTCCTTAATTAGTTTGTTGGAACAATATATTTTTTTTTAATTATGGATTTTATTTAATTATATATAAATAATAACAGAAGAATTTGACTATCGTATTAATGAAGTTTCGATAAGAAACTATTTTTCAATCATTATGTATTTCTTTTAATTTATTTAAAAGCCGTGATAGGTCCATGTCCGGGCGTACTAATCTCGGAACAAGCACCAATAAAATTATTTATTTTACGGGCTGACTTAATATGTGCTCACCGGCGAAGGAAAACATCGTGAGCAACACTGCATATTTTTGAAATAATAAAAAAATACATTTATGTGAATTCAATCTGCAATGGGGTCACATAGTGGACTATATTATTTATGTACAGCGTGTCTTTACAATCGCGACAGTAAATGAATACACATATAGGGGATAACTTTTTAAAATTGTATTAAACATTTACATTCTTTAAATATCAATATTTACAGTTATTAAATTTTCCAAAACAAAGAATTTTAGAACACCTTACGTATAAAACCGTAACGTAAAGTTCATGTGTAAAAGTCACAAAGCATTGGGTTGAATGAATTTAAAAGAGATAAAACATACTGTTAGAAGGCTTGTAATGCCACGCTGTGGCGCGAGTTGTATAGGTGTTACAAATTTTGTTTCTTTTTTCCTTAATTAGTTTGTTGGAACAATATTTTTTTTTAATTATGGATTTTATTTAATGTTAATATTTTTTTATGATTATTGGCAAGTAGCGTTAGACGTGTGTTCATTTATTATCGCGATGGTAACGACACGCTGTATATACCTCTATTATGAATTTGTAACTTCACGTGGAAGAACGCCCAATTTCGAAAAAATATCTATGGGTTACAGAAAAAGTATCACGTGTGGGTATCGAACCCCTGCGCTGGCGCTGAAGCCAATGCCTTGGCAACCGCTCCACGGAGTCATGACCCTTGCCCAGCAGTTTGACATGTTGAGGCTGATACTATACTTTTATCTTATTCAATCATTTATTTATTTTTATTACTTGTTGATAATCTTCTACCGAACATGCGAAATTTACACACACTAATATGAGTAGAATCATCTACCACATATTTATGTACTTTTGATGTACAGTACTTATATTTCGTTAATAAATAATCTCTATTATTGTAAATGAAATCATGCTTATTTCAACTAATATTTAGTTTTCCTTTTAGGTTACTAACTTTACTAAAAGATTGCATAAACGATCTAATATTTCGTGGTCAGGTAAACATTCTTATATAACTGTTAGTACAAGAAAGCATAGCAACACAATTAAAATAGGTCTAAATATTCCCAGAAACTCCAAAAAAAATTATTATGCATACATAATGCTAATTGTGTTTATATATATATATATATATATTCTAATATATATATATAATTCTACCGTACAATTTCACTGAATTCCTAGACTGCTGGACCAATTTTAATGAAATTTTCAGGTCGATTTTATAAATATAAGTTAAAATCATGAAGGTGTTTAATTTTTTATTACTTAAGCTTATAATAAATTAAGTTTTCAATATTTATCAAATTAAATGAACATGAATTATAACAATTTTTATATATATGACTCAATTCACACATAAGATGTTATATTACTTATTTAGGCAATTTTTAAATTTCATGTTTCTTAACTACAACTTGTTTATATTGTAATTGTAATAAGAAATACTTTCTAAGTAATAATTAAATTAATTTACTAAGACTGTAATGCAGCAAAAAAAATTCAAATGTAATTGGTGTGTAATTAATGTTTCCAATAAATAGTAAATTAAATGAATATTTAATAAAATAATATAGGTTAAGGGGACATAGGGAAATGTTTTTTTACTTAACTAAAAAAAAAATTATGAAATTATATATCTTTTAACATGTATTCTACTATGTATAGTAAGACATACTTTCTCTTAAAAATTATGTCTGAAATAAATTTAATAATATCCTAAATAATGGTATCATTATGTTGGCTATGTATAAATAAAAAGTCTTGTCTCTCACAAGACTTTCATTTTCACACTTTCGGTTCATCATTATTATTAGTTAATAAGACATTAAGGTAACATGCATTGCTACTACTATAATGACTATTCAGTTTGCCAGTTAATACACAATTTTAATATCAGACTTCAGAGAAAGCCTGCAGTTATTTTAATCATCTCTAAGAGTTTCTAATGGGTATGATGTTATAACCAAACCTCTACCCCACAAAGCATCAGCTATTTGTATTTTATCAGTGTCATGTGGTGTGTCAAGATCCTCCACAGCAACATATTCTGGATAAGACTTTATCAATGTTTCTATGGCTGGTGCCAATTCTTCCTCAATTTCTAGGAATGTCAGATCATTTCCACGATACTCCAATGAATTCTCAGTATAATAATATAACTTTATAGAATCCTCTGAAACCATTCGTAATATATTTTTACGAAGTAACCTGATCTTTGTATCAAGGCCCATTTCTGCTCTATTTATAACTTTACCATTTTCAGTCATTACATCACTGTCTCCATACACAGTGCATGATTTTTCTTCATCCGTGAGAACTGGAGGTAGGGCATCATGCTGGTAATTTTTGCTCATCTGATCTACAGCTTCTTCTATAGGTAAATGGTTTTTGATTTTATAGAAAAGATTTTTTATGTACTCTTCAATTTCTGTTTTCCTCGGTGTGCGGGCATCTGAGTGAACTAGACCAAAATTATCATAGATATCTAATGGGAGTCCTTGTCTAAAGTCCACATTTTCATTGATGGCAATTTGTAGAGCAGCAGGAACCATTTTTTCAAATAGATCAGCCCAAGAATGTTTCTGGTACATACTAACTGTGACGTGTAGCGAATGTTCCCCATCAATTGTTACTCCTTGATGAATATATCCACGGGGAAAGTAAAGCATATCACCAGCATTCAGTGTCACTTCTAAAATTGGTTCTCCAATTTCATCATCAGAAAAATTTTTCGATGATGTCCGTGGCAAAATTTCACTCTCTTCCCTAGGCTTATATATCCGCCAATGCTTTTTACCTTCAGCCTGCAATATGAATGCTTCTATATCATCATAATGTGGTGCAAAGCCTTGGCTGTCTGGTGGTGTTAGGTAAGCATTTGCACCAACAAATGAGTTGAAATATTCCTGTAGTGTTGCATTCAGAAGGTGCAATTTAGACATATACGTTTGTGGATTTAATAATCTTACGCTGCAACCATTCAAATAGAAGTCCCACACAACATGGGGGTAAGCCCGTCCTTCAGGGTTATGCGTCTTCCGTTTACCATCAACATAAGAGGTGATGTCAATATTTTTAGTGAACTGTATACTTTCAGTTCGTAACATTTTATCAATGAGTGGTGTAGAGATAATGTCACTGTAGTAATCAGGTTTATTCCTAGCTATGTGTAAGGGTTTCTTCTCCCAGACACTATTGAAGAAATCATTAGAGTTGTAGGGAGCCATCATCCATCGGAATATTTTCAGACCTTCCTCACAACTGTCAGTTGTTACAGCAGAGAACACAAGATCACCATCACTTGACACCGAGTAAACTTCATCATCGCTATTTGGTAGAATCAATCCATTATGAGGCGAAATTGGAACCAGTGCTGGAATTTCTTCAACTTTTGAAGCGTCTGAATTATTCGGTTCTTCTTGTACAGAGTTGACGCTGTCCTTTTTCTGACTGACTTTCTTTGCCTTTTTTTTCTTATGCAATTTCTTTTTTGTAATATTTTTGGCTACCTTTATTTTTTTCTGTTTTCGCTTAACTTTTTGAGCAATGTCTTTCGTGTTTTCATTAATATTTGGGGGCAGCGGTTTGGTCGATGCAGACGCTTTTTTCCTCTTTCTTTTCTCTCGTTTTGGTGTATTTTGTCTCGTAGATTTGTAAATCGCAAACGCCGATATTGGTGAATCCATTATGAGTAGGAGCGATGTATCTACTAAATATACTTGTATAAAATCAATACAATCTCCGGCTTTAACCAATTTGAGGTTTTATGTGAAACTCGTTAACAATTTATTAATAAGATTATCGTTGACTAAAGTAACGCCTAATAATCAGATTAGATTACAATCATTAATGCTGGTTTAAAAGTATATGATTAATGATAGCCTCAAAATATTTGGATCCGGCAGGTCCATTATACATCCAAACCAACCTATGCAAAAGCAAAGCAAAAAGCAAGCATGCGCATCGCGTATCGCATGGCGGGAACCCGTAACAGTGTTACCAGCTCTCGATAAAACGATAATATTTGTCCCCAGCGTTTATGTGAAAAACCCCTAAACCCTAATAAAATATTACTAAAAAAATTAAAAAATAAATAATGCCAAGATTTTTGCTTTGATTTCCATGTGAATGGTATAAACACAGTGAAGGATATTGCAGCGAAATGTTAGTCTTTTAAAAAGTGTTTAAACAAACACAATAGAGAATTAAATTTTTATAAAAATTGTCTCTTAAGCTTTCTTTAGACGATCTTAATATTTTTACTATAATTCCAATAATTAGATTCATAATGAATAATAAATATTTTAAGTACTTTTGGCGCTTTCTTTAAAACTATCGCCATTGATACGTTTTGACGGTATCTCTTCTCTTCATAGTTCAAGTTCGCATTCTTAGGAATGAGAAATTACACAATTACAAATATGTTTGGGTAGATTGCGTTACATCTGGCTCTTTATTTTTCTTAATCACAAAAAAAGATAGAACACATAAAAAGAAGGAAAAAAGTAAGACTTCAAAAAATAAAAATATAAAAAATATTTACCCCCTAAACTTGGAGGGAAATCCAATAAGCTGGCAACTCTGGGTGGGACTAGCTAGGTTTAAGGGTAGTATTACCAACCTATTAAAATGGTCCCTAAAATCTAGATGAAATACTTAGCTATTTTTGAAAATTTCAAACGCACCAAAAACCCTGTTTAAATAATAATAAATTTTAATAATAATAAATTTATTTATTTCTATAGTAATAACAATACAGATCGTTTATACTTAATTATGATATGTTACAATAAGAGACTATGAGGTACACTGTGACTTTCAAACTAGGTGGTGCCTGTATCTTTGAAGCTGGAGTGCGCTTCATGTAAAACGTTAATTAACAAATGAAAAGAAAAAAAAACGAAACAGGCGGTTAGATTTACAGGATACGAATTATAATAGCGTAGACATAGATAATAAAGCACGAGATATTTCTGGTGTGTATGTGTGCGTGTGTGCGGGGGTGTGTGTGCGCGCACACGCGCGTGTGTGTGTGATCATGTGTGTGTATGTGTGGGTTTAAATGAGTTTAACGTTTTGATAAGGTTAATAAAATATAACTTAGTTTTAACTATTTTTCATTAAAATGCAAAGAAATGAAATGTTAGTTAATATTTCATTATATTAATGTACATTTTGCTTTTTTTTTCTTATTTTGGTCATTTAAAACAGTGATTCATGCCCCTAAAAATGGTCCTTTTAACTAAACTTTTGTAGACCCTAAAAAAAGCCCAATATGCATAATTCCGCCCCTAGGAGGCTAAAAGCCCTAATTTGTCCAGGGTCTCAGGGTGTGTGGATAATGGATGGGTTAAAACTAAAGCTATATTAAACCTGCGGCCTGCGTGCCGCATGTCAAGCATGGCCCTTCGTGTCGGGCTTTTGTGGTTGACCCATCTGGTGCTAACTTATTGTAAACCATTTTGAATTTCGCGGCCATAAAAAAAATCTGAAAACGCTCTGAGTAAATAAGTTCTAAATAACAGTACCGCACCATGGCTTTCCTTGGCTTCTAAACTTTCATATACTGTCTTATCCACAATAATATGATATTTTTATTTTGTGGTTCTAGATTTTTGTTACAACGCCTTCTAAGAACACATCTCACGGACTAGTAAAATAACTATAATAATAATAGTAAAATATATGGGATGAATCCGTTCATAGTTGTTTAATTCAATTTGCAACAATCGCGATAACCTTAGAAATGTCCTAATTATTTGCGGCCCGCGAGACGACAAACACCTGTTTGTGACCAAAAATGTTGAGAACCACTGGGTTAAAATATGTAGTCTTTTATTTTGTAAATTAATCAATTTATAATTGTATAAAGTGAAGTTGTTGCAGCGTCAAACAAAGAGAATGTAATCACTACGTTTGGCGTCAAATAAAATCCGTTCATTCGTGCAAATTGCCATAAAGTAAAGTTGACGAACAAGAAAAAATACTATTAAAGGTCAAAAATGAGTTTATGGTTTCTCAAAATATTCTCCCTTTGCATATCTGCACTTTTTCATACGATTAAACCAATTTTGAAACATTTGTGCCACTCTTCCATGGAGACCTAATGAACGTGTTTTTCGACAGCCTCTTCTGGTGATGAAAATCGTTGACGTAATTAGTTCCTAAATCCTAATTTTATGGGGAAAGAAAAAAGTTACAAGGCCAAATCGGGACTGTGTGTAGGATGGCTCATAAGTTCTACGTTTTCCAATTTCTACGATTAAAAATTCGTTTGTTATTTTACGTAGTTCGTGAATAACTACCGGTAAATATAAATGAAACTATAGTCCTCTAGAATGGTACTTCATTGCCAAAAGCAGATTGAAGCTGATTGAGAGGTATTTTTCGAGTCAGGACTTTTTTGAGATCTTTAAGTTGAATATTTAAAGGGTAAAAATTAATAAGCCAGATTGTTCAGTAGTCATCAGCCAGGTATCCAGTTTTGTGTTAGGGTATTATATGAGCCGAATAGATAGAACAAGTTTTCAGCTCGCCACAAATACCTACTAGGTCTCGGACTCTTCCTCTTTGTTTCACCCGGTATCTCTAGATGGCAGTATTAATAGCACCTTGGCGCGTTAAGCTGCCGACGTCGGAACCTAGATCGGTCGGATTGACAAGTATATAATCAGATTCATTCAGATTAGCCGCAACTTTGGCATAAATGTTCGTGTCTTAAGATTTTTTCACAGAAGGGGTGTGCCTTTGATTATACACTTGTCAAGTGTACAGCGTGTCGTTACAATCGCGACAATAAATGAACACACGTCTAACGCTACTTGCCAATAATCATAAAAAATATTAACGTTAAAAACAATCCATAATTAAAAAAAAATATTTTTCAAACAAACTAATTAAGTAAAAAAGAAACAAAATTTGTAACACCTATACAACTACAGGTGACTGATTCATACAATCAGAGACTTTCATTCGTTGCCACAGTGTCGCATTACAAGCCAAGTAAATTCATTCAACCCATTCATGTGCTTTGTGACCTTTACAAATGAACTTTACTTTACAGTTTTAAACGTAAGGATGCTCTAAAATTGTTTTTTTTTGGAAAATTTAATAACTGCGTAAATATTGATGTTTAAAGAATGCAAATGTTTAATACAATTAAAAAAAGTTATCCTCTAATATTGATGTTTAAAGAATGCAAATGTTTAATACAATTAAAAAAAGTTATCCTCTATATGTGTGTTCATTTATTGTCGCGATTGTAAAGACACGCTATATAATTAAATCAAAGGGTTGTGCTTACAGCGACAGATGTTTTGTATGATGCCAAAATGTTGAAACAGAGGCTACTTCAGATATTTTAATTAATGAAGTTGGTGGTAGTTCTAAATAGAAAATAAATAAAACACCGGCATAATACGTATTTTAAGTATTCATCCAGATATAATTTGTTTATAATTTTTATTTTAACACTCAAAGGCATTACGTGTTACAATTTCGCTATTTTCTACAATCTATTTACTATTAATACATAATATTCCAAGTGTAAATATTCTATATAATTTCTCGTGTTGCATTATTCTAAAGTGATACATTGATATCATTATTTCATTATTTTATAGTATTCAAATTAGTCTTGTCATAGTCACAAAAATAAAAAAATGTGATGAAAGGGTTAATTCTAATAAGTTCCCTGTAAAATTATTGCTAAGTACCCTCGACGGCATTGCCTTAATAAACGATGTCCGATGACGATGAATAGCAGATGTCCTTTGTCTATTTATTATAACATTTTCAAAACATTCCTAAGACATTGGCACAGTCGTCGAGCGTCCTCAATAATGCATGAGTATTTTTTTTTTTCTATTTTACTATATTAAAATGTAAATAATAAAAATTAATTCTCACAAACCATATTTTTTTAAAAATTTTATTAAAGATTCAAGTTACTATTATATTGTCATCGATTGCGCTTCTAAACAAGATGCGGTTACCAAAAAGAGATTCAAATCAAAGCACAATGTTACAGTATAATTATAGAAAGCTATTACTATATTGTCACAAATCTAAATTTGATTTTTTATTTGTTTTTTTTTATGCACATGCATTAATGTAAATATACTTTAATTAGACATAGTAACATATATCTAAAGTATTCATATAAAACATTAATTAGACTGTTAGTTAGGTACATATAATGCATAATTTTTATTTATTTAAATAGCATCTATATAAATATATTTTCCATGCATATACCGTAAGCATTGGCTATATAAGAATAAACTTTAATCTAACACATTAAGAAATTGATCTTGAAGTAATTCAATTTGAAAAAATTGGTAAATATTTCATAGACACTGATATTATGCCCGGTTTCAATATTCTATCTACATAGAGGTTAGATTACTGAAGATAGAATTTTGACGTACGGAGCCACTGCCAATGTCAAATACCAAATCTGTCTGTCTATTACAATTTTAATGTGAATATTATAAAATTGAGTGTGATAGTGATAACTCACAAAGCAAGCCATTAAGAAAAAAAAGAAGAAATCAATGTGTAGATTGAATATTGAAACCAACCGTCAGTTATACAGAAATTAAAAGTTTAGAAATTTCTAGAAAACATCATTCATCATCATTCAACATCAAAGATAAAAGGGGTTTTTTAAAGTTATGAAATTTTAACGTTTATTTATTTTTTGATATGGCATTGATATATTTGTGATTAAATATTTGTTCCATGTTCTTTTTGAAAATACATATTGGTCAATATGTTAGATCAATTTCTGAAAAGGTAAACTTTTCCAAATTGATAAATTAATACTTTGAAATAGAAAAGTGCGAAGTTTTGAAAAAAACTTTATCAGTCTTATAACGAACCAAGTTCGATTGAATTCCTCGCCAAATGTTTTCTTTATCGTTTTCGAAGTATTTGTTATTGGAAAAAAAATAATAATGTTATAGGGACGGTAAAGTTAGTAAAGTTATAAACATTCTTCATCCATTACATTAAGTTCAATGGCACAATGATAGTGGAATCTTTTTATACGAATTTTAACCATTAAATATATTTTTGATTTTATATAATTATATGACATCAAGTTAACAAATAATCCAGTACTGAGCACGATTCTACTTTAAGGCGATAACCAAAAAAATATTACGACCTTACATTTCCTAAATAAGGAGGTAATACGAATTTCAATCAATGTTACAGATAATTTTATAATCATTCTGCTTCGCTTTTTTGCGGTACAATTTATATCTACTTAATACAAAAATTAATGACACAGTGTACATAAATACTTCTTATTTATCATAGCGCGCGAAAACTAAAACCTGCACATTGAGGAATAATTATTGAGACATTGAAGTGCATAATGTCTCTGCCGAGTTGTTGACTGGCGACTGGTATTGTTGGACAAGCGAAATAAAACGTAACGGATTATAGCCCATTCCACAGATTAATAATAATAAATGATGCACGTAATCTTTGAACCTTTGAATTTTTTTTAATCTTGATTGTCTGGGAAGTGCGGTCGGATGACCCTCGAGTGGACAGGTGTTGTGTCCTCGGGGCTGGGGCTGTTTTCGAGATGGGGGTGGATGCTCACATCGTAATTTTTAACTGAACTTGATAATTTGATTTCGAACGGGGCTTATGTGGAAGCTTAGTGAAGCCGGTGTGGTGTCCTGGGGGCCGGGGCTGGGGCTGTCGTCAAAATGGGGGCGGATGTATACGAAATAATTTTTAACGGATATTGATGGTTTAATATCGAATGGGGCTGTGGTAGGAGCTTAGTGAAGTCGGATGACCCTCGCGTGGCTGTGGTTAAAATGGGGGTGGATGTGCACTTAATACTTTTTAACGGAAAATGATAATTTGATTTCGAATGGGACTTGGGTGGGAGCTTAGTGAAGTCGAATGTCCCTCGCGTGGACGGGTGTTGTGTCCTCGGGGCTGGGGCTGTCATCCAGATGGGGGCGGATGTGCACGACGGAGCGGCGCTGCTCGTGCTCGCGGTAGCGGTCGTGCATCATGAGGCCGCCGACGCCGTATCCCGGGCACGCGGAGCCGCTCAGCCGCATCTTCTCCGGATCCTCGTCCAGCTTCATCGACGAGAACACCGTGCTGAGGTTCAGTTGCGGTATGTCGTAGAACACGGTGAGCGTCAGCATGAGGAACGTCAGCCCGGTGATCAGGTATACTGTAATTTAGAGCGTCGTGAGTCTTTTTTTTTTAAGTGAAATGTTTCCGTGGTAGCGGGCGGTTCACCTGATGTTGAGTGAACACCACCGCCCATGGACATCTGCTACCACCCGAGGGTTCCAGTTGCGTTGACAACCTTTGAAAATTGGGCTCCGGCCACCTCACCCATCAGACGAAACGCGTATGTGTTACACTTCCACTTCACCGGTCTTCTGTGAGGTCGTGGTACTTACCCGAACGAGCCTGCCCATTCGTGCACCAGCCGAGGCTGCCGCGTGGCCCTACCACCGTTTCGGTGCGAAGTTCAGATTTATATCTGTTCGCTTCGTAGTATGACTAATTATCTACTTGATTAAAGCTTACAAGTTCGGTGGAACGTAAATCATAAATGACGTTACTTATGTCTCTCTACACTTTTAGGTTACCCGTGATAGCTCAGTGCCCGGGCGTTGGTCTTCAATTCAATTTACTATAGCAACCTGAGTCCGATCCCCGGTGCCGTCACCAATGAAATTGTTAATTTTAAGTGTTGACTTATCATCGTGAGGAAACCTGCATATTTTCGAAACAATAACATAAAAAAATATTTCGGAGATATGTGAAGTCCTCAAATCAGCAGTGGGGTCGCAAGGCGGACTATGCCCTGATACCCTTTGTACAGAGGTGGCCTTTGCCCAGCTATATATAGGCTTTTACTTTACTTTACTTCTTTACCTTTGAGATTAAAAGTTTTAACCTTTGGAATAAAAAGGGAAGTAAAACCGGAACGAAACGAAACACTATTAATTTGAAGTTTACGAAAAATCAGTGAATGCCGAAGCTACTTACTTGTGGTAGCAACCTTGTACATAGGCCGGTAAGGCTGGGCGGGGGAATCCCCCGGGATATAATCACCGAGGCCGATGGTCGTAAGCGAGATGAAGCAGTAATACAACGAGTCCAGGAAGTCCCACTCCGGCTCCAGACTAGCGAAGATAGCAGCCGGCACCAGGATAAAGAACACCACGAAAATTGTCACTGTTGAGAGAATTGAATAAAATATGAACAGTTTTGTTTAGAATAGATTACAAAAAAGTTTTATCCATAGTAGATAACTGAAATATCATGCATCATCACTACATAGTATAAAACAAAGCCGTCCCGCTCTGCCTGTCCCTATGTATGCTTAGATCTTTAAACTACCCAACGGATCTTGATGCGTTTTTTTTACTAGATAGAGTGATTCAAGAGGAAGGTTTATATGTGTGTATTATACATATTGCACCCGTGTGAAGCCGGGGCAGGTCCCTAATGATTTATAAAAGCAACACATTATTCTTTCTTGAAATAATCGTCAGCAAAATCAGGTAATTAAAAAAAAAGAAATTTTGAACGAACGTTACTTTTATAGATACAAAATGTGTCTATTAATCCGATGGTTATGAAATTGCTTTTAACTTTCATTCCTTTTAAAATGTTATTTATAAAATATGTTAAGGTTAATGCAATCATTTGCAATCATCGCAACATAATACGAAACAAAAATATCTTCTTTAATGTTATTTCTGACAGCAAACTATAAAATGAATACAAAAAAATAATATATCTAAAAAATCAATAATTTATGACCAACATGTTCACTTCGGAAACCTCACAGCATAAGATATTTATGTATTTAAGAAAAATATTATACAATGTCATCCGGAGTCCACTTTATTACAAAGTGGCAATTCATCTGCACCGTTTCGGGTCTTAATAAAAATATAATGGATATTATATAAGTGAGGTTGCGAAGTATTCAAACAGAAATTAATAACAACGATACTACAATAAAGCATTCAAAACCATTGTAAAAATATGATAATAAAGGCCCATTTACATGGTGCCAGTTTCTTGCCTGTTGTATACAATTAAATTGAAGCAATAAATGAGTTGCATGGTCTAAACAACAAATGGTCTAAACAATTATTGCGCGCAATTTATTGCATTCAATTATTGCTCTTGTATGTACAAGAAAATGTGCCTAGTGTAAATGGGCCTTAAATTATGTAATACAGATGATCGATTTGACTCAATTGGGATCGATCTCGTGTTGATCATAATTGAAAAGTTTTTTTTAATGTCAGAGAATGGTAAGGGAGCCCTTGGTTCACCTGATTTTAAGTGATAATCGCCGCTCATGCAATTGCAATAAGGTTGCAGATGTGTTGCCAAATTTTAATAAACTTAGCCCGGGTTCACTCACTAGACGATACGCAAAAGTATAACTCCATTACGGTGGTAATGCCACGCAGCAGCCTCGGCTGTTGCACGAATGGGCAGGCTCGTCCGTGTAAGTACCACGACCTTACTGAAGACCGGCGTAAAGTGGAAGTATAATACTTTCGCGCTTCGGTGACTGGTGAGTGAGGTGGCCGGAGGCCAGATTTCAAAAGGTTGTCAACGCATCTGCAGCCCTCAGGTGTACCAGATGTCTATGGGTGGCGGTATCTACTTAACATCAGGTGAACCGTCTGCTCGCTTGACAACTTTTCGCATAAAAAAAAAACTTCCACTTCACGCAGGCATTCTGTGTGCTCCCCCGGACTGACCTGACCATTCGTGCAAGCGGAGACTGTTGCGCGGCCGAACCACAGTGGAAGCTTCTCTAGTGTTTCGTGGCGTACTCACCGATGATCGTGAGATGAACCAGCCGTATGGTGAAGGGGCGGTAGAGGTGGCCGAGGGCGGCGTTCAGGCTGCGCAGGAGCGCCGTGGCGGGCAGCAACAGCCGCTCGACCAGCGCTGACAGCAGCACCAGCGTCAACGGTATACCCAGCAGGGCGTACACCATGCAAAACAGCTTCCCGGGCTTCGATAGCGGAGTGACGTGGCCGTAACCTTCGAGAGAATTCTCAGTCAGACTCCCGCCATTTTGTTACCGACTTACACACGGTTTCAATCTATCTTCTATCTATATACAGGGTGGCTTGTCTAAAGGTGCCCAAATTCACACAGTAGGTTCAGACTCGGTAGTATAATCGTTTAATGAAATAAAAATAAAGTATTTTTTTTTAAATTGCCATTCCATTCCCTAAAAAACAGAATTTGTTGACAATGCGGTAGTCATTCATAACTGTGTCGTATACTTTTGAAACGAAATTGTGTGCGTGTTAGTTATGAATGATCGCGCGTAAAGTAAATGAGTTGCCCATAAATCACGCACTTTTTGAGGTAAGTTAAAATGAATGTATTTAATTAATTAAGAGTGATTTTCAATATTTATATTTTTTGTATAATATTATTTATGTCTAGAATTTAATTAAAAAAATGGATACACTTAGAAGAACCTCTCTGTATATATAAGAGATTTCCACCGATAATTGACTCATCACGGTATCTCAGGAACCATAAGGCGTAGAGACTTGTTTGGTAGGAATATTCCTTTCGCCGAGCAGAGGTCAGCTAAGAACGTATTTTACGAAATTCCACAAAACAACGGTTGCCGGGATCAGCTAGTATTCAATATTTTTTCACATTTGGTTACTAGCGATCAAGGGCGGATCCAGCTTTGGTGCCAGGGGGGGGTCACGTAGTCGGGGTCAAGTGATAAGAAGTTATAGTTAAATTTTTATAATCATAGATACAAGTAAAAAGTAGGAACTTATTTTTAACCGACTTCAAAAAGAAGGAGGTTATCAATTCGGTTGCTTATATTTTTTTTATGTAGGTATGTTCGTCATATATAGACGGATTTGCAAAATTCTTTTGTGTTCGTAACATTTCGTTGCTTTTTATTATCATATATTATACAAGGTGGCTTTTATAAAGGTGCCCAAATTCACACAGGAGGTTCAGACTCGGTAGTATAATCGTTTATTGAAATAAAAACTAACTTTTTTTTAATTTGGCATTCTATTCCCTAAAAACAAACTTATTGACAGTGAGGTAGTCATTCATAAATGCGTCGTATACTTTTGAAACGAACTTGTGTGTACGAATGATCGCGCGTAAAATAAATGAGTTGACCATAAATCACGCACTTTCTGAGATAAGTTCAAATGAATGTAATTAATTCATTACGAGTGTTTTTAAATATGTATCATTTTTTATATAACTTTATTTATGTTTAGAATTTAATTAAAAAAAATGGATGCACTTAGAAAAGCCACCCTGTATAGTTTTTTTTTAAGTAGCTATTGGTAGGCTTACTTATTTTTTGAATTTCTTTTATTTATTTCTTCGTTACCAGATTTTATGTAGTCGTATTGGTTATAATATTCTCTATTCCTCTACTCCGCACGCTGGCTCCACTTCAATGAAAAGTAGCCTAAGACGGTGACTATCGGGACACGGGTTAATAATAAAATATAATCAACCCAAATGAAAACTCCTAAAATAGCCGTACACCAAATAAAATTACATCGTCCCCATTAAAAAATGTTCATAATTAACAAAAAAATATTCATTCATTGATTCATTCATAATATTAATCTCTTCTAATTCATCTAATCAAAGACAGAATCCACATTAATAAGAAACGGAACGAACAAACTTTATTTCCTAAAGATGGTCTCGCATACTCACGTCCTCTAAACCAACCACATCACCCATCAAAAACGGTCCACCCGTTAAGACGAATCAAACTCGACGCAGTTGTGTTCCTTAATTACTGAGTTCCTATGGCCACATTCCAGCTCTGTCATCAGACACTGGTTACCATCTAGCACCAAAGAACTCGTCATGACGAATCAAACGAGCCGAGACGCAATAGGGTGGCATCGTTTCTTTATTGAGTTCATATGACTATCTTCCAGCTCCATCATCAGATCAGACCCTTGTAACCATCTAAAAATTAAGTACTCGCCAAGACGAATCAAACGAGCCGAAACTCGATGGGGTTGAGTCGTTTCATTACAGAGTAGTCATAGCAACCTCCCAGAATAGCTTCATAGACCTCACAGAAGATCGGCGTAAAGTACTTCTGCTATTTGTCTGGTGAGTAACTCAGGCACGAGATACGTTTTCTCTTACTTATTATAAGGAGAAAACGCATCTGCAACCCTATGCATATGTCCATGGACGGCTGAAGATGGAGCTCCATCATCAGATCCTGCTTACGAATGAAAGACAAACTACTCGTCAATACGATTGAAATGTACCCAAACGCGATGAGGCTCTGTCGGTTCATTTCGAAGTTCCTTTGGCCTGCTTCCAGCTCCATCATCAGATCAGCACGATGTCATAAAAATATTGCATTGTCTCGCGATTCACACATGTATACAAAATTTCAGCTCAACCGGTAAATCAAATTTAATTTGCAAGATTTGATTTGATGATTTAACATTAAAATATTGTAAAAATGTTCATAAAATGAACACTACTTGGCCAAACTATAGTAAATTTTTATGGGACCAAATGACAACTATTCTGCATCAAACTAAAGAAGAATCACGTAAATCGGATCATAAATCTCAACGTAATCGGTGTACAAACATCGAAAAAAAATATACCAATCGAATAGAGGAACTCCTCCTTTTGAAGTCGGTTAAAAATATTATATTAATTTAATTAAATATTAAAGGTACTTAGATAAAATCTATATTGTGGCAAAAAATATATAAAAACATTATTTTTGACAATTTTAATTAGTGGTCCACCTAGGCCCGGGGGGGTCATGACCCCCATGACCCCTGGATCCGCCCTTGCTAGCGAAAGGTATTTGACATTAGCTCCATAATACTTACGACATAATTCTATCTCCAGTAACCGATAGGATAACCGATCTACAGATCGATATGTTACTGTTCCTTTTATTCTGTACATATAAATAAAAAGTAATGGGCCTTTCTTAATTTCTCCCTCTTCCCTCCATCATCAGACGAATAAATGATCAGCAGATCTACATGCTTTCGTTGCAGTCAAATTTTCAAAATTCGAATGAAAAGGTAGAACTTTTTGAAGAAAAACTCGTTTGCACGCATAGAAAAGGAGTGGAAAAATTAAGCGCAAACAAAGAGTAAATAGGATCATAATTTATTTATTTTATTACTTTTTTGTAACTTTATTACATTACATTATGTTTTATTTTTGTATTTATTTATTTAATCTTTATTGCCCAAAGGCATTCTCTACCCTGTATTTATATCTGTATAAGTTATTTAAATTTCGTGTATCTTTGTAAGGGCTCTAACGAATTGGATCTAATTTTGTATTAAAATCAGGCTTAGCTATTTAAGGAAAAGAAACCTCACTTCTGTGCCGTTTCAGGTGGTTTCTCATTTGGCGACCATAATATGACCATGATATTTATTATATTTTTATTATTGTTGTAGAAATTTTATTTTCGAAACACGAGATATGTATAAATCATAGTTTCTCTCTTTCGTTGTATGAAATCGGTTCTTAGAACGAAGACAAGCGACGGCTTATGGAAATAGATAGATTGGTGATACTTTACTTTGTGTACGGAAATTTTTGTTTGAATTTAATAAATTTTAGTGGGTTTTCGAATTGCTTTAGGAGTATTATTTTTGAACAGTTGGTAACACTGAGCCTCAAAGAGACATAAATACTAGTCCCCTATGTGAATCGAACCCACCATCAGCGGCGAAGCCAATAGCTTAACAGTTCTACCAACAGAATCACTTTTTCATCATATTGCTTATTCCCCTCATATTCCAGAATCCGTAGGGTACAAAATACAAATCCTATATTATTGTTAAAAATTCGTAAACTAAAACCATAAATACAAATCAAATATATATAATACATGAAATAGATTCGGATTATTTAATGAATTATTATATGTAATTATTGATACTTTTACGTCAACTATCTTTCTGTCAACATATCGTGTCACCTCTGAAATAAATTATGTATTTAGTTTCATCGTGTTATTCTGAAGCCTGTTATAATTATATTTCTGGCACCGTGTAAAGAATACCGTTATTGATATGTTTCTTCTGCTTAACATCATTCATGACATGCATTAAGATAGTGTTAACGCCTGTCACAAGTTATTAGCAAGCTTACGCGTATTAGGATTATTGTTACTTTATGTAAATTTGTTATGTTTATCTAACTACCGACTTATGTCAGTTAGCTAATAGCTTCATTACGCTTCCGCATTATACGTCTTCAACGCGTTAATCTTTTCTTATTTTTTAAATTCCGGATAATTTCCTTCAAGATATTTCTCACAAACATGGCACTTCCAGAAAAATACAATAATAGCATAGTTCAAAAAGTTAACATTGATTCATAGCATTTCAATGTGTATGAGATGCTGGGTGATATGTCATACCGATTGTGGTAACCACGGTGGAGGAGAAGAAGAGGGACTGTCCGAAGCTCCAGTTGGGTCCGCCGGTGACGTTCTTCGAGGCAGACACCCCTCGATTGCTAGCCCGGATCACCTCCTGCAGCAGTGTCTCGAGGTCGTCGTCTGCAAGGAGAAAGAATTATATCTAGCCAGCGCTCTTACTTGTTGAGGTGGTCTTTAAGTCCAGGGACTCCTTTAGGCCAAAACTGAATGTTCCAGCGCGCCTAACCTGGAGGAGAGCGGAGTTACTCCCCGGGAGGGGGCTGCTGAGGCGGTCAGCGCTAGCGTGGACGCGGAAGTGTGCGAAAGCGTTCCCGTGTCCTTGACGATATGCGCCTGGTCACCGACCCTCAAAAAGCGCCATGATGAAGTTGGTTGCGAAGCAATAAACAACATTTTGACGTTTGCGAATGATTCCGAGCTATCTAAATAAACCGTTATCAATTTCATTTAATATGTTTAAAAGTTCTTCTTTTATGTGAAAAGTTGCCAAGCGAGCAGACGGTTCACCTGATGTTAAGTGAATACCGCCGGCCATGGAGATCTGCTACATCCGAGGGTTTGCAGGTCCGTTGACAACCTTTAGAAAATTGGGCTCTGGCCACCTCACTCACCAGACGAAACGCGAAAGTCACTTCCACGTTACGCCGGTCTTCTGTGAGATCGTGGTAACCGGACGAGCCTGCCCATCAGATATATAAAAGTACTCTTTGCTGCCCATTCGTGTAACAGCCAATGTCATATTATGTATTAGCATGTGGAGGGTGGTTGAGAAATAATTATTAAAACAGTCTTAACGCAGCGCTCGTCTTTGACTCACGTACCCTGTGCAGCCGGTATTTCAAAAGGACTAACGTATATTAGAAGTGAATAATATTGAAAGTAAAAAAGAAGTGATTAAGTAAAGACTAAATTAATAAGTGCGAAAAGTGAAAGAATACGAACAGTTTGAAGTACAATGGAGGCAATTTTACAACCACCGCAACCGTTTATGTTCGAGAACAATCTAGTGAACGTGACATCTGGAAACTTGAGTAGAGAGTGGGACAGGTGGAAGAAGAGTTTCATTATTTATTATGAAGCGTGTGAACTAAGTAAAAAAGATCCCAAAGTTCAAATAAACATTTTACTTCACATAATCGGTGAAAAATGTAAGGATGTGTATGATCAGTTCGCGGGTAAATGTGAAACGGTTAATAAAGTATTAGAAAAGTTCGACGATTTCTTTTATCCAAAAAAGAATTTAACGGTTGAGCGGCACAGGTTTTTCACACCAGATCAGAGCGAATTCGAGTCTGTCGAGCAGTGTGTTCGAGCTAAACAAAATGGCGGTGAAGTGCGAGTTCAAAGATTTATGCCAAGACCTAGTACGAGACAGACTAATATGTGGAATAAAGGACGGTTCTTTACGAGAACGCTTGCTAAGAGAACCCGATTTAACCTTAAAAAAGGCAGTAGATATTTGCAATTTAGCAGAATTATCTCGCGCTCAAGCCGTAAACTTAAAAACTGGAAGTGCAATCAATCACCACGTTCATGAAATATCGGACGGAAAGCAAGGAGTAACACAACAACACGGGGAGCTTAATTAGATAAAAAAGAAACATCAATCGTCCGGAGCGCAGCAGTCAAGGTCATCATCGCGCGCGAGAACGGGCGCACAGTGGTCGCGCCCAGGCCCATCAGGACAACAGGAGCGGTATCAGGACTCACGCAGTGCTCGAGGGAATCAAACTGGTTCAGGTCAACGAGAGGAGAGGAGGTGGTCGTTTACACCGACGGCAACGTATCGCAGTTGTTTACAGTGTGGTAGAACCCATGCAAAGTTTAAATGCCCAGCATATGGACAACAATGTTTAAAATGTAAAAAGTTTAACCACTATTCGAGGATGTGTGGAGTCTATGAGGTACGCGAGGATTCTTCCGATCAGGTAAATAAACATTTAAATACCATGTGTAACGACTGGCTAGCGTGTCTACAAATGTGTGGTAGAAACGTAACTTTTAAATTAGATACCGGTGCTGACGTGAATGTGCTCCCTATAAATAAATTGAAAGAATTAAATATTCAACGATCCCAGTTGACAGGTACATCCTTAAAGCTACAAGGTTATTCAGGAGGTGAAATAAAAGTAATAGGCAAGTGTTTTCTAAAAGTGAAACATAAAATGAACACACATATTTTACAGTTTATTGTGGTCGAGTCGGATTCAGTTCCAATTTTAGGCAAGAATTCATGTGAGGAGTTAAAGTTAGTTACGAGAGTTTTCACGGTAGAAAAGAAGAATATAATTTTAGATGAATATTCAGACGTTTTTACAGGAATAGGTTGTTTGCCAGGATATTATAACATCGAGTTAAAAGAGGATGCTAGACCAGTTGTTCATGCACCAAGAAAATTACCATTAGCATTAAAAGATAAAATTAGTAGTCAATTACATGAAATGCAGACGCAAGGTATTATTGCCAAAGTCGAACATCCAACGGATTGGGTAAACAGTATGACGGTAGTGAAAAAGCCTAACGGTGACTTGCGTATATGCCTAGATCCCCAGGACCTCAAAAAAGCCATTCGTTGTGAGCACTTTAAGTTATCAACCTTAGAAGAAATAACATCTAGTTTGTCGGGGGCTAAGTATTTCAGTACTTTAGACGCAAAGCATGGGTTTTGGCAAGTAGCGTTACATGAATCCTGTACGGATTTATGTACGTTTAACACGGCCTTCGGTAGATTTAAATTTCTTAGGATGCCATACGGCATTTGTTCTGCGTCAGAGATATTTCATAGAAAATTGTATGAGCATTTTAATGATATGGAAGGAGTTATACTTTTTGTGGACGATTTATTGATATACGCAAAGTCTAAAGAAGATCATGACAAAAGACTAAGAGCTGTATTGGATAGGTCTAGGAAGATAAATATAAGGCTAAATCGCCAAAAATGTAAAGTTGGGTTAAAAGAGTTAAAATATTTAGGGCATAAGATTACTAACGCTGGTATCAAACCTGACGACAGTCATATTTTAGCCATAAAAAACCTTCCTACACCACAAAATACAAAAGACGTCGAACGATTTCTAGGTATGGTTACATATGTTGGTAGATTCGTTCCAAATTTATCTGAAAAAACATATATTTTACGAGAATTTTTAAAGAAGTCAGTAGAATGGCACTGGGACCATCGGCATCAAGAGTGTTTTGACACTATAAAAGAGTATTTAACGAATCCTCCAGTCCTGCAATATTATAGTCTCGAAAAACCAATTGTTATTTCCGTAGACGCCAGTAAGCACGGTTTAGGCTGTTGTTTACTTCAAAATAACCTACCAGTGTCATATGCGTCAAAATCATTGTCAAAATCCGAGCAGTCCTATGCACAAATAGAAAAAGAATTATTTGCTTGTGTTTATGCGTGCGTAAGATTTTATAGTTATATCTATGGACGGAGCGATGTAACAATAGAAACGGATCACAAGCCGTTGGTCAGTATAATAAATAAACCGTTAGCAAATGCACCCGCGCGATTGCAAAGAATGTTATTAAGACTTCAACCGTACACATTTAAATTAGTTTACAAGCCGGGTAAATACTTCTTCATCGCTGACGCGCTATCCCGTGCAGTTGCACCGGGCACGAGCGAGAGGTCCGTGCCGCGTGACTATCTCGAAGCGCAGGCGCAGGTATGTGCGCTGACCACTACAAATCCACTTACAGATTCTCACTTTTTGGAAATACAAAAATATACTAAACAGGATGACGAGTTGCAACAATTGTCAAAAATAATTAGGTCCGGGTGGCCGACTCATAAAAAAGAAGTAAGTGCTATATTAAAACCATACTGGGATGTAAGAGATGAACTGACTGTAGCATTTGGAATTGTTTGGAAAGGAAATCGCGTTGTTATTCCACGTTGCTTGCGGGCAGAAATGCTTCGAAAAGTTCACATAGGACACTTAGGTATAGAAAAATGTAAGCTAAGGGCGCGCGAGATTATGTACTGGCCAAATTTAAATTCCCAATTGTTAGACTATTTATCGCGCTGCCAAGCATGCCTCACATATGGGAAACAAAATAGTAAGGAACCTCTGATTCAATACGAGGTGCCCAAACAAGCGTGGTCTAAAGTAGGTGCGGACATTTTTCACTATGGAGGAAAATCGTTCTTATTGCTAATAGACTACTTTAGTAAGTTTATTGAATTGACTAAAGTAAAAAATTTACAATCTGAATATGTTATAAGTAAAATGAAAAACATTTTTAGAAGGCACGGCATTCCGGAAATAGTCATGAGTGACAATGGCCCAGAGTTTGCATCTAATAGTTTTAAACGTTTTTCGGAAAATTGGAAGTTCCAGCATGTGACTTCATCGCCAGGATATGCTCAAAGTAACGGTCAGGCCGAACGTTTTGTACAAGTGGTTAAAAACTAGTTTTAACAACACAGATTTAAATTTGGCGTTATTAGAGTACTCAAACACTCCCATATCAGATAATCTTGCATCCCCAGCAGAATTGTTATACAACAGAAAACTACGGAGCATACTGCCATGTCCACCTTCATTATTGATGCCAAAAGTACAAAAAGATGTAGCTAATAAGTTAAAAGACCGTCAAAATAGTCAAAAATATTATTATGATAGGAGAGCTAGACATTTAACAGAATTATATATAGGCCAAAAAGTAAAGGCCAGATATAATAATACTTGGGTCGCGGCCACAATTTTAAAACGATTTAATTCGAGGTCATACATCATTAAATTGCAGTCAGGAACAACGTTAAGGAGAAATCGAAGACATCTTATTGCAGATTCACAAGATAGGGTTGACACTGAATTACCGAGCGCACGATATGATGACATAATAGTTGATACGGATAACGCACAGCTGATCCAAACGGCCGCGTTCCCCCACGCGCCCGCTCAATCCCCGCATTCGCCCAGCACCGGTTCTAATTCCAATGTCATTCCTGTAAATAATTCTTATCGAACTACTCGTTCTGGCAGGGTAGTACGACCTCCTGATCGGTGGGGATTTGCAACCGCGTCGTAGACTCCAAGCAATACTAAAAGTTTTCCGTTTGTATACCTAAATTAGTGTTAAGAATTATCTATTTTTATACAATT